ATAATTTTTTTTTAAAGCTGAAAAACCTCAATGAGGAAAAAGCTACGAGACTACGAAGATAAAAGGAAAAATCTACTCTCTAAACATCCTTTTATGAGATGAAGGGCATCATTTTGCGTGTCCATGAGTGCTGTTTAGGGTAAATCAATTAGAATCTAGAACAATGCTATGTATATAGTCATGATTGTTTTACTTTGTTTGATGAGTTTATTTTATTGTAATATATATGTATTGGCAAATGAGAAGGAGGGGACTTGAACACCCGGACATTCGACCAACTAGATTATACTGGATAATGTCTTTATTAGATGAGTTAGATCCTGTCTTATTCAAATGATACATGATAGAATTTAAACCGTCAAATTATGTTTTTTACTTCTAACCTAAGAACTACGGACACTTCTACGAAGGAGTTATACTAATATCGTATTCGTATCAGAGACCGACACTTCTCGAATGCGTGTCGGACCCTTCATATATGTGTCCATAAATAAAAATTAATTTTATTATTTCGGACATTCCGCTGACACTTCTCAGATACTTCGTTTACACTTTTCGGACACTTCGTTGATACTTCTCAGGCATTTTTAACATAAGTCTACACATTAATCTTGAAAATAATATGAATACTATCATGACAAAATAATGAAATACTGATATATATCATATAAAAATCATTACAATAATGACATAATTTCATTTTCTAATTCATTTTAGAACAACTGTTAGTATAGAAATTATAAATGAATTAAAGCTTTATAATACTATAACTGAATAGGTGTATAAAAATAAATATTTATATTTATATATAACTGTGTCCACGCCGTACCCGTGGCTTACTTTTTAAAAATTTTACGTGTCGACATATCCGTGTCGTATCGTGTCCGTGTCCGTGTTATATAGCTTCCAACCAAATCAAAGACTTTCTATATCAGGTAAAAGTCTACAATACTTCATGGGTATCGTACCCTTAGGATTCTCCGTCATTAGATGTGATAGTGGAACTTAATGATGAATGATCCAACGGCTGAGAGGCCTTGGAGATACGGTATCTGCAGGGTATTGTAAACCTTCTCATATATCAGATGTCAGGCACAGACCCAACACAGGGATTCTTTTTTATACCTCAATTTTTTTAGAATTTATGAAGATACCCCCACTAAAATTACAATTCGCCACCATGGGATTCTTTTTTTTTTATTTTTTTTTATTTTTTTTTTTGCATTTTATACTTCAATTTTTTTGAGAATTTATGAAGATAATTCCACTAAAATTACAATTCGCCCCCACTGAATTTTTATTCTTGCATTTTATACTTTAAGTTTTTGAAAATTTATGAAGAAATTCCCATTAAAATTACAAAAATAAATTTACTATATAAGTTTGCCTCCACAAATTAAAAGACGGTCACCCTCCCTCTAAACTGTTTGGGTCCGTCACTATGACAGATTCAATAGACTTTTATTTTTGTAAGTGATGTTGTTTAGACTTTAAAGTGAGGAATTTTCAAGATAAATATAAATTATTCATTGAAAGGGTATCACGTGACAAAAATACCCAAACTATTGTAGACTTGCAAATGTTGTGCAGCTGATGTTCGCTACTAGATTTCCTTTTTTTTTATCCCTTTAACAAATGCAACCACTGAGAGAATCTGATATTGACTTAAATTATTAAGAGGGAATTTATAAGAGAAATATATATTTGGGCCTTATTTTTGAAACGATGAGAGTTGGGCCCAAGTAACATCTGAGTTAAACCTTTTAAGTATAATAATTCAAAATAAACATGGGCCTAATAAGCATAAGAGCCCAGGCTCACCTTGTTTAACGAAGGAGCTTACATTAAACAAGTAATGCTACCCTTGTAATGAGCTCTTCTTATTAATCGTTGGGTTTAAAGATTAACTACCATTAATCATCCAATTCCTTACTTGTTCATCAAATACACAAAATCAAACTTACTCAGTCCAATTATATCAAACACTTCAGCAATAAGGAGGAGCTTTCATCCTTATATTAATTAGTAGACAAGTATAGCCTAACCAACGCCAAGAAGTACATTTAAATTAAGCAAATTAATCATCAAAAATTTTATTGGACTATTTCATTTCATATATACATGATCATAACTTAACATAATTCATATAAACGCATACCAAAACGACAATATGTTAGGTACTCTTTCAGGGCTTATCTGGAATGAGAAGATATGAGAAGGGAGGAAGGAGGAAGGAGGAAGGAAGGAAGAGGGTGGTTTGTGGTTGTGGAATTTTTTTTTTTTTTTTTGGCATCTAGTGCTTGTTGAATATGTTTGGAATTGGAAGCCATGTGCTGCATATGGAAGCCTCGGTGGGGCACTTGGTATGACACATATCTCATTTGTCACGGACAGAGTGTTTCACAATTCGATCTAACAACTTAAATTATTAGGTGACGCTAATACCTAATCTGACTCAAGTTTAAATTATTAAGTAGTGCTTACACTCAACTTTATATGCCCAAAACCCTCTCCATCATGATCCGACGTGAGACACGACAATATGTTAGGTAATTCAACAGCAACCGATTTGAGTAGCACTAGCAACATGACGGGCACCGGCACCTCACTCAAACCATTACCGCAAGGGCACCACCAGCATATACAGTGGGTCAAACATGCATCATTGGTTATATTATCACCTCCTCCAATATTATATACTATATATGGGGCGCACATTGCATTATCAGCATAAAGAAAATGAAGAGATATGAATGCAGAGAGAGGCACTTAATTAAAGAGCTTGATATAGTGAATCATAGACTGATTAACAAAGGCAATGATGATAAGATGTGAGAGGGCTGAACGTGTTTGAAATACAAATAATTATTCAGGTTTGAAGCAGTGAAAGTCAGGGTTATATGCGTCACTTCATTTTAAATAGGAGAGCAGGTATAAAAAAAGTATGTCAATATTTTATTTTGACAGATGTTTCGATAACTTAGTGGGTTAGTGCCTTCGATGGACTTTGAAGACTCTATGCATTTACTAAACTCTAACTTCTTCCAACAATTCTTCGCTTCTGTAAGACTAATAAATTATAGATTTCACTTAGACGGTGTAATAAATAAATTTTATTTTTAGTCTAGCATGGAAATTATTTACTGGCTAATCTACCTTGTATCACTGTTACACCCGAGAAGTCATAAACATACGTACCTAAAAATTGGTAAAACTTGCTTGAGTTGAGCTCAACTCGGTGACGGAGTCAGAAAAAATTACATATATATATATATATATAGAAAGAGATAATGATATTTTTGGAATTAAATTAATTTACAGATATAGAATATAAATATTAAGGAAACAATTTAGGAAAAAAAAAATATGAAACATATATAGAATTAGACAACGTTTCAGTCCTGTCCCAGCAAGACCAATTGTGTCCTACATACTAACATGTTCCAATAAGAGATTGACAGCTAACTGGAAAAATAAAAAATATGGGTTATACCCATTTTTTTATAGTTAAACTCGAGATCTAATTTTTTTCCTCACTCAACTTTGAATGTTATTTTTAATTAACTCATGAAAAATTGTATTTCCTACCTTTTTATTTTTAATTTTCTTAAGATAGAAAACAATCCTTAAAAAAATTGAACTAACCATTTCTATTTCTCCCTTTTTAAAATCTACCTCAACTGTTTTTTATACATGTTATATATGAAAGTTATTCCTTTTTTCACTCAATTCTACGGTTTCTATCTTATTTTTATTTCCTACCCTTTTCTGTAAATTAGAATGAGAGCAAAAGGAACAGAACAAAAAACCATTGTCTTGTTTTTGAAAGTGAAAAAAACTCAAAATTTGAACAAAATCTCTTACTCGATTTAAGCTATTTGAAAGAGAGAAAAATTACACAAATATAATGTTTTAACATACTTGTTTTAAGAAAATGAATCAATCCTAGATAAGACCAAATCAAAATCGAAATCCAATTTGAAGCGGAGTGGTGGAGGTCTTGGTAGGGAATATTAGGTTTGGAATGATTGGCAACTAAGGAAAAAGAAAGATGCAGATCAAGATACACAGATGGGAGCAAAGAGAGGAAAAAAATAGATGTATCGTGTTTAACCCTAAAAAATGGGTATAACCCATTTTTGTATTTTTTTTAAAATTTAAAAGAGGCGTCAACCTCTTATTGTGACATGTTAGTGTGCAGGACACAATCTGTTTTGATGGGCAAGACTAAAATATTTTCCTATAGAATTTTATGAAGAATGAGGCACTTTCCATATTTTCATTAAAAAACATATATATTATTATAAAATATATATAGAATATGAGAGAGGGAGAAAATCTAAGGGGCACATGCCCTGCCCCTACTTTAATAGACAAAGTACTGACTCCGCTCCGCGTACTTGGTTTAATTGTGAGATGGGACAGTTTATGCCATTTTTATTATTTAGTAAAACAAAACTAGTCAAATGTTTACAAATTGGACTGATAAATAAGCTACCCACCTTTTAAATTACTAAGTAGTGAATATTATTAATGGACACTTCTAGCAAAATAACAAGAGTTTTAAAAATATTAAATATTATATATATATATATATAAATGTACATATATAATCAGGCGGGTTCATCACTTAATCCACCCCCGTCCCAAACCTACTTCGGGTCTTCAATTATTTTATCATACCAGACCTAAATCCATTTAGGAGGCAACCAAATCAGCTCCATTAAGGACGAAAATCCGTAAGGAAATTGTCATCCCTAATAAAATGTTTGCTATTATTTTAGACATTGAAAGACAAAATTGATATTCTCGTCACTGATTTAAAATGTTTGGTTTTACTTTTAAGAAGAAAGTCAGAGAATCCTTATTTGGAACCACAACATTGGATACAAACTACTTAAAATACAATTTTTAGAAAGGAGAGCTCCCATTGGTGCTTATGCTTTCTACTTTATTGACAACATGTAGTGATCTTAAAAGAATTTAATTTAACACTGGTTTTATGGAATACATTGCACATTTTGATGTTTTGTAACGATAAAATATTATTACATGGTTTGGAATTACAAGATCCGGGACTATATGGTCCCAGCTAAATACATGCGGTCACATAAATAAAAAATTACAAAAATTTGACACAATTACATACATGGACGTATGTGATTGACCGGGATCATATAGTCCTAGACAGTGTAAAAATTTCTAATTTTGCATCACTGAACTCCCTTAAATGGCTTTCATCATGATGCCATATCTATGGGGATGCTGGAAGAATAAACTCTATCCCTCGCCATCCTTGCCTGAAAAAAGTAAAGCAAAGAACAGTTAAAATGAAACTGTGTTGATGCAAATTTGAAGGGAGAGATCAAATTTTACCTGTTGCTCCCAATCTGTGCGCATGGTGATAGCTAAAAGTAGTAATGCTTGCAGACCACTCCCACTAATGATTCCCATCCAAAGACCCTGCATAAAGCACGATAGGCCTGTAATCTAGTGATATTATGTCATTTCACGGTGCTAGAGGGTCCAAGTCCTTTTCAGAATATTGTAGAAGTTTTTTTTTCGAGAAAAGAAAAAAAAAATGCTAGAAAGACAATAAATGTCAAAAGAAAAATGGAGCTAAATTCTTACCTTTCCCCCTAAGTGGTAAACAAAAGTTAAGATAATTGCACAAGGAAGGCCCACAAGGTAATATGCTCCTAGATTCACAAATGCACCAATCTTCTGCCAACCACATCCTCTTGCTATGCCTTTTGCAACTCAAGAAGTTTCTCATGATGTTAGGATCAATTATGGGAGGTATATGAATTAAAGGCAAAAAAATGTCAAAGCAGCCGCGTTCAAAAAACTAGGGTGTGGTTGGTTCAGTTTTCTAATAACATGTCTCAAGAACTCTGAAAACAGTTCTATTTTTAGAAAACTATAAAAACAGCTATCTCAAAAAAGTCAGTTTTCGTAAAATAGTTTTTAGAAACAGACAACCAAAGTTTTCTTTTTTCATTTTTTACAGAAAACGTAAATCTGAACCAAACATACCTATAATTATATCAATTAGAACCAATGTATTATGTTTTTGCAAGGAATAATGGAAGCTCTAACCTGAGAGCCCAGTCTGAATCCCATCCATGAAGTTGGAAGTGGCAAGCACTGGCATTATGCAAGCCAAGTATTTTACAACTTCCTCCTCATTGGTGTACAGATAGCCCCAAACGCCTCGCACTGCCACTGAAACCAAGCTCACTAAGAAGCCCTCTGCAACAGCAAGGAATATCACAACCCGGGCTGCAAGTCGTGCAGCACATGGCTGCCCTGCACCTAGTTCATTTGACACTCTCGTGCTTTGAATCCGAGATACAAGAGGTGAAATTGTCAAAACATATTAACACAGGATGGCAAATATGTAGGAGTCATGTAGAGGTGTTTTACCAAACATACCTTACTGCACTGCCAAAACCAAATGGGATTCTGAAGACCACTGAACTTGTGTTAAGGCTGGGGAAAGATAATTGAAGTCAATGGAGGAGTTAAAGTGATGCACTTAGAACCATATGCATGAGTAGAGTGTGCGTGTATGTGAGAATTAGAATTGAGACTATACTACAGATGCAAACCTGATTGACATCATTGATGTCTCTAGCTTTGGATTGGGAAGAAGACCAGACATAAGAACCAAAAATTCGTATGACCACATTTCCAAGCTGAATCATATAACAGGATCACATTAGCATCATTGCTCATTTTGTTAAAAACATTAGAAATTATAATGTTGGATGTGTAGGAAGACTCACAAACTCACCAGACCATAAGAGCTGAAGGAACAGCTAATGAAAGAAAGCCGACAAGATTCTTCATACCCTCCTTAGAAAATCCTGTCCAAGTCTTTTGACATGAAGGCGAAAACTTGATATAAATCGCCAAAATCAGTACATTGATCCAGTAAGAGATGGCATTGGACAGGGCAGCACCTTTGTTGCCAAATCCAACTCGAAAAACCAAAGTCCAACACGCAAAGACATGAACTAAGCTCGTAAAGGCAGTGCTTATCATCAATGGCTTCACACTATTTTGAGCCTGCAAGAACCTTAGTTGACACTGGAGGATGCCATAAGGGAAAATGCTAGGGATCAACCAACGAGCATATATTCCCGCGTGTGTTGAAATCGCCAAGTCTTGTCCACAGCTAGTGAAAATGTACCCTGAGTAGGCCCAGAGGACTGATATAGGAATCCCCAGTAGCACAACCACAAGCATAGCTCTCTGCATGTGAATGCCAAGCATATGATACTGCTTTGCTCCGTAGGCTTGTCCACAGAACGTTTCCAATCCGCTTCCCATTCCCAACTTGTTAAAATGAAAATTTGAGATGTTAGGGCCTGTTTGGTTTAGTTTTCGATTTTTTGTGGACTAAAAATAAAAACTATACAAAAATCTGGTTGACAATTTCTGATTAATAATTGTTTTCTAAACACTCAGTTAAAAAAAAAAAAATCCATTTTCTGAAAACAACTTTTTGTTTTCTAAATTCTCGAGAATTATTTTGACTGATTTGATCTTTCTACACTTTACATAATTAATGGTCTCGCTAGATAGGAATAATGTCTACATATATGTCTTAATCATTGCATTTGGAAAATCCATTTGTCATCTTGCAATGAAAACTTGTTGAGAATAATTTCCTGTGATAAGGAAGGAAGTTCATGAACTGATATCCATGAAACAAAGTTTGTAATCACATTTTTGGACTGCAGTCGATCATTTATGTAGTGTATGCTTTTCACCTACCATCATCTGCTCTAGCCAGATTCCTACATTCCTACATGCGTATCAATTATATTTTATCGAGTGGATGATGAGGGCTTGAACTCCGGACTTTGTCGGCTTTAATACCTTGTTAACCACAATTTACTCTTAACAACTAAAAAAGGTTAATATATATTTTTTTATGCTGTTGTTGTTGTTATATATGTGTATATGTATATGTTATTATTACAGAAACTCTTTTAGGAGTCCCAAGGTTTCTACAACTCCCCTAAATGTGGTAGATGGTAGATTGTTATTAGTATTTATAATGAATGTGGGACAAACGTGATAAGTACTGCATATGCCATACTTAATAAATGAGTAGATTACAGAGTTATGACAATGACCCATGCACACTAGCAGTCCTTTAATGTTTTCCCCAGATCATGGAAGAGTTAAACTGATTAATTAAATTTTCTTTTCTTTTCTTTTTTAATCATGGCAAACTAGGGGAAGGGGAAGGGGGACTCGAACACGTGTACACTTGCTTGGGGAGCAAAACGCTCTACCAACTAAGTAACTAGGTAATACCTGATTAATTAAAGATTGAAAGAAGGGGATATGGATTCTTGTAAGAATTGGTCTGCCTATAATGGGATTGATTTGCTAGTGTATGTATGTTTATTAAGAAAAAATAGGCATATATATATATATATATATATATATATATATATATACATAACAAATGAGAGAAACCATACAAGAAGAAGCTAAATATTTCATTTGCCTTAATTATAATGTTTTCCCCAGATCATTAAAGAGTTAAACTGATTAATTAAATTTTCTTTTCTTTTTTTAATCATGGCATATTAGGGGGAAGAGGGACTTGAACACGTGTATACATGCTTGGGGAGTTATGCGCTCTACCAACTAAGTAACTGGGTAATGCTCGATTAATTAAAGATTTAAAGAAGGGGATTTAGATTCTTGTAAGAATTGATCTGCCTATAATGGGATTGATTTGCAAGTGTATGTATGTTTATTAAGAAAAAATAGGTGTGTATATATATATATATAACAAATGAGAGAAACCATACAAGAAGAAGCCTTACCATGAAGCTGAAACCTGTAACTCCTGCAAATGAAGTAGCCATAGAAGCACTCGAAAGAGAGAGTTCTCCGAGATGGCCAACGAACATAACCGATATCATCTGTAAACTGTACTGCAAAAAACTGACCACAACCAAAGGACCTGCCAACTTCAATTGCATTTTGAGCTCTGCAATAGTATCTGGAATATCAAAACATTTGTTGGTTATTTCACCACCATGGTCATGACCCTTTTTAGGAATCAGAGGAGATTCAAGAAGAGTTTTGGAGTCATCTTGATCCATGTCTCAGTACTGTTGCCTGAAGAAATTGGGAGGAGGACTCTGTACCTGTTGAGAGAAGGGTGAGAAAACATCTACAACTTGGGGTAGCTAACTTATATTATTTTGTAATATTTTGAAATGTGTGAAAATATCTAGACATGCAAAATGCATGTAATTTTGGTTAGAAATATCAACCTCTAGGTTACCTCGTGCCCTTATTCGTCAAATCTGCCAAATCATAATCATTTACCCTCTATTGTTTTGACCTAAAATATTTTTATCGAAAAATTATTTTCTTTTTCAGATGATCTTTTTATTTTATATTTTTGGTGTTTAACAAAAATATAGGTCGAGTCCATCGAACGAAGCGCGTAAAATAACTTGTCAAATATTAATGAGTAAATTATTTTATTAGGTTTTAATATGTTTTCTACGTAAATATTTTACAACAACCAAATACCAAAAAATAAAAATAATTTTTTTTTAATTTTAATATATTTTCTTCGTAAATATTTTACAACAACCAAATACCAAAAAATGTACAATATTTTTTGAAAAATATTGTACATCCAAACAAACGGAGCTGTGTAAATTCAATAGATGAGTATATGAGTTCACTCTGAAGGAACGATCCAATAATCTGACGAATTATTTATTATTGAATTCATATCCAATTTGCTATTAATAAGATATCTAATCGGATAATTTGATCCATTAAAGACATAAACTGTAAGCGACAAAAGAGAAGCCAGAGAATAAAAATAAATTGTAAGCAACAAAAAGTGGAGAAAAATAGGTATTTGATTTTTTTTTATTTAGAAAAACAATAAAGAAAAATAAAAGAGAAAGAGAAGATGAAGAAAAGTAATGATACAATTTATTTTTATAATTTGTAAATATTATATATTGTAGAACTACATAATACATGTATAGCAAATAAAATATTATATTTTATTAAATCGAATTATTATTATTAGACAGATCGATCAAAATTTATTTTTAATTTATTTAGCTACTAAATTATTAAATTTGGATTGCTATTAAATTGTTGGATTGAATATTTCAATTCATATTCAAGTTAACATATCTCATTATATATATATATATATATATATATATATATATAAAGTTGTTAGTGTAATCAATTTCCCAAATTATTTGGACTTTGACAAGTGAGCCGATTGGGACATGTCAGTTGCATAGCATCTTGATGAGAAGCTATGGACAGCCTTTTAGCTAATTAAGGGTGTTAGTTGAAAAACATAAAAACAAAAATAATTAAGTTTTTTTTTTTTTTTTTGGGTAAATAAAGTTGTATAAATAGAAAAGAACCGTACAAAATTACATGGGTATAGTCCAGGCCCAAAGGGAAGCAAAACAAACGGGCTGGGGCCCAATAAAACAAAGTTATAAATAATCGACCGCACTATAAAAATCTTAAATCACGCGGAGATGGTGCAAGAGCGATGGCAAAATTTAAATCACATATAGGCTCTGTTTGTTTCGATGTAAAATATTCCTTTTGAAATTTTTTTTTTTTCCGGGTAAAATATTCTTTTATTTTTACTTTGTCGGTATTTGGCAAAGGTCTACGTCTAAATTGAGGTCGAGTCTATCGAACGGGACAAGTAAAATAACTTGTTGAAAATTGATGGATAAATTATTTTTGTTAAATTTTAATATATTTTGTTTCATAAATATTTTACGACAACCAAACACCAAAAAATAAAAATAAAAATATTTTCTGAAAAATATTTTACATGAAAACAAATGGAGCCATAATGGGGTCAAGAGCCCCCGTGGCTTGGATGAGATGGGTGGGGGCTTGGCTTGGGCTATCCCTGGCCCAGGTTCGAGTCTTTTCCCCCTCCTTTATTACCGCGATTAAAATTGTTGCTGAGGTGTGGAGTTATCGACAGCTTCCCCAATATTTGCAGCCTAGGGTGGGTCCCTAAGGAGCCCTCCCCAGGAGAGTTCCGGTGCCAGCCAAAAAAATAAATAAATAAAAAATAAAAATAATAATAATGGAGTCAAAGAGCAAGAGTTTGTGCACAGTGAGAGTGGCACCCGTTTAGAAGAATTATATGATTTAGATAACAATTCTATTACAACAGGAGAAAAGACGCAGTATAACATATGTGAGTTTTATTTATTTATTTATTTATTTATTTAAAGGTTAAGCAAACACACATTCACTCATGCTTCTACTAGTCTTAAACACCCGTTGTCTACTTTGGGGAAGAGGATTTGAACCAAATGGATTAGTGCCTTTAAAACCTAGAGGGGATATATAATTCTTTCTTGATTTTTGTAAATGATTAAATTACAATATATATATGTATATATATTAGGCAATCACAATTAAACAATAAAATAAAGGAAATAATAAACTTTTTTTTTTTTTTTTTTTAAAGCTGAAAAACGTCAACGAGGAAAAAGCTACGAGATCAAAGTGTCTCTAAAAATCCTTTTATGAAATGAAGAGCGTCATTTTAGGTGGACATGTGTGCTCTCATATATAAGAATATTTTCTCTCAAAAATATATTTCTAGGCTTCAGCAGATTAAAAGATATTTTTAAATTAAATATACAAGAGAGTCCAAATAAAAATAAAAAAGAAGTATTGTCAAAATTCTATTGAACCTCTCCAATAATTTAGTTGGAAAAGATAGTAAAAACTTTATCAAAAAAGTGAAATCCCATACATGGCGGGACTAGTGAAAACTATTGGGCACATTTTCAACCCGTTTAATTATGAAGAAAGAAAAGGTACAACTCAACCGGTTGAATTTTGATGCATGCATAAACATAGTTATAATTATCATTTTTTCATAAAGCAAAAAGTTGGACCAATTACTACTTTTCATAAAGCAAAAAATAATATCGATTATCACTTGTCCAAAAGCAAAACGTAACCCCAAAGTTATATCATCAAAATTATTCTCACCACAAAATATTACTCAAGATTTTTGTTTTCGATTAATCGAGATAAAGATAGGCAAAAGAGAAATTTTCGCCATTCATGAATCACATGTCCACCTTTATATGTTCAACCGGTGAACTCCATGGATTGGAAATTTTCTAACCGGACGGACTTTCAAAAAAGAAAATTTAAACCAGCCTTTTAAATATATATGAACGATAAAAATAAATTTTAAAAAGCTTTTAAAATAATTTTTAAATTCCTAATCCAACCAAATCAAAGTGTATAGTACCCTCACTCACATAAATTATTAGATCAACAATTTTGACTCCCAAATTTGACATCATAAAATTAAATATTGACAACATTGTTAACAATTGAGCCCTCGTTACTGGGGCTACAAATGAACCGAGCCGTTCATGAACAGCTCAGGTTCAGATCGTTAAAAGTTTAGTCCGAGCTCATTCATGTAGTAAACGAGCCGAATTTGAACAATGGTAAGCCCAGCTAGTGAGCAAGCTCGTTTACATATAGTATAAATGATTATATTAAAACTAGCCCATGTATACAAATCCAGCCCAAATTTACAGATATATAATCATTAGCCCAATTAGTCTTTGGGCATTTAGAAGCACATTTAATTAATTAGCCATAGATACATCTCACCATTGATTGAACTTATAATATCTTTAGGGTTGGGGATTAAAAAAAATCCTAAAAAGTAGCCTCAATATGTTATGCTTCCCCAATTCCGTCGTGCCTGCAACAGCTTGTCCATTCCAATGGTCCATTGGCAATGAAAATCCTGCTAGTGCACCGTTCACTCCTCAGGCAATCAGGGGCGGAATTAGTAATGGGCTAACCTCGGCTATAGCCTAGGTTCAATTGAAAAAAACAAATTAGTATTATCGTTCCAATAAGCTCATGTAATACTCTTCCTTTTCTTATCAACCCAGCCCAACCCAACCCATAATATTTCTATAAATAAAAGGAGTTATAAAATTTACAAAGGCCAAGCCTTATTTTTGAGCAAGTCCACGGACCATAGATAGGCCTAAAAAAAAAAAAAAAAAAAAAAAAAAAAACATTGTTGGTCAATTAAAAAAATAAAAAAAGGTTGTTAAATTAGTAATCACATAGGTCTTATTTTCTAATGTGAATTTATTGACAAGGAACATATATATCTTACATTCTTGCAGGTGTTTGTCTTAATACTGATATGAAACATACTTCAGTCGATTCTTCACTGTGAAAACACGTTAGAGTTTAGAAATGTAAATGTGTTAGAATGTTGTAGATTGTTGGGTTTAATTAAATGACTGATGCATGAGAATTCTTTATATAGAGCATAAATGACACACTAAGCAATCATGGGTTTAATTATTTTTAGACCCCCCTACTTTGCAATCTTGGCTCCGCCCCTGCAAGCAACTGTCTACTATTCCTAAGGCGAGATCAAGTTTAAGTCCGTCTCTCCTCCATCGCTCTCTAGCTTAATATTTCCTCTAATAATATTATTGATATATTAGATAAACCGGACATTGATTGATAAATTGAAGCTGATAGAAGACGGAGAATAAAGGAGGAGAGTGTTTAATATGTGGAACAGATCATAGTGTTTTTCTGCTCCAAAATGGTTCCTCGCTGATATATATATGTGTATAGACCCTCACATACGAGCTCAAGCCAAGCCGAGCCCAGGCTCATAAAAAATTTGCCGAGCCAAGCCCAAGCCACCCTCTGACTTAGGCAAGCCGAGCCAGAGCAACCTATGCTCAACTCTGCTCATTTGCAGCCTTACTCATTATTCACTTTTGATATTGATATTTGTTTTATGACTTGGCTGGTTTAAGTAAATTAAAATCTAAAGGATTGCTAGGGCAGTCGTTTGCTCCACAGTCGTTTCAAAATATTATTTACCCAGTGTTGGATGAGTCGGTTCCCACTTTATTCAAATGATATAAACATCCATGCAATCACAATATTTCCTTGTTCTCGACTTCCAATTTTGTTATTGTTGTCAAACAAGTTAAGTGCTTCAATTATGAGAGTACAAAACAAGTTAAATGATTGAGGTTTGGATATAAAACAGATAGATCCTTCAGTGTGTACGACTCATTGACTTTGACAACAGCAATACCAGATGGCCTCAAAACTCGGGAAATTAATGTAATTTGTAGTTCCATTAAGCACTTTTTTCTTCACAACAATAATGCCAAATGGAACCTCCCTGTATTGGCCAAAAACAGATTTAGTTAAGAAGACATTTATTTGTATCTAAATGTGTTTTACTACATTTGCAATAGGCTGTTATCTTTGCAAGGGTATGTTTGTTGGCATTTAAAAAAAAAAAACTCAGTTTTATATGTAAAACTATTATAAAATTGCTGCTAGGAAAAAAAATAATAATAATAATAATTAAGCTGGATGATATATTAAATATAATATTTTTTGCAATTAAAGTACTTAATTTGTTGGCAATAATATTGGTTCAGTTCCGTTCTACAATTCTAGGCTAACAATAGAAACATTATAATTATATATATTATATATAATATATAAAATACATATATATTTATAATAATGTCTGAGTCACTCCATATAATAATAAGATACATAGAGAACAAGAGACTACTAATAAATATACATGGAAATAGTTATAACTTCATGAACTGGAGTTGCCAGATCTACTTTGGCTTAGCAATTTCTGCAAATCCCATTTCATCTTTTACGGAGTAAAGGAGAATCTTGAAACACAAGGCAAAAACAGATGCAGTGATATGCTTTCATCCATACCCATCTGCACCCCTCCCCAAACCCTAATCCAGAATAATAAAGTGTTTTTTTACATAAACCACCGCGATATTTAGGCTAAATTGTGAACATTAAAGAAAATTCTATAGCCGAAATCATTACAAAATGTAAGCACATAGATATCAAAAAATATCTCCTGAAATGCTCTATTCCATGTCAAAAAAGAAACAAACTGCCAGAAGGTCTGTTTCTGACATTAGGAACCTTCGGTTTCGTGTTATTAAGTTATCAAAACAAAACAGCATGTCATGGTCCTCCCACTATTTATTTTCCAGCAAAACATATAAACATTTCCCAGAATTCTAGCTAGGACATGGAAAAATTGTTCAACCATCGCCTTCTAAAAGCTGCGAAGGACAGACTAGACAATAATGGAGGACATTCCAGAGAAGAATGAGAGCATGTACAATACCTGAGGCGAGCAGCCATTTCTTCTCATCCCATGCATTTTGTGGAAAATGAAATCAGAACTGCTGATTGAGGTAAGGATCAGCAGACGATTTTGGAGAACCTCCCAAGTATCCTGAAACACTCCCAGAAACACCCGTAACAACATTGTTCAACCAGGAGGTGCTGCGAGTTAACCAACCAGTCTGTGTCTGCTCATTCCCTTCATGCATGCTCTTCTCCTCTTCCTCCGCCAGTATGTCTAGCCACCTATTAGCCATAAAGACCTTGATAGCTTCAACCCCTTCTTTCACAACTTCAACTGGCGGAACTACAACAGGGTTCTGTTCCAAGTTGAGCTTGGTCAGATTGTCAAGCCGGCTAAATGTATCGGGAAGAGCATGAATCTGATTGTTACTAAGATCAAGTTCCTTGAGGTTGGTTAAATCAGTAATCGTGTCTGGAAGTTCAGTAAGGTCACTGAAATTACTGCTCAGATTGAGTATCTCAAGATTTGTCAATCTCCCAATTGAATGAGGAAGGCCACGGAGCTCATTGAAGTGCACGTCCAGAAGGCGCAGCAAACTCATTTCTCCAATAGATGTAGGAAGAGAACGGATCTTGTTCAGGGAGATCGAAAGCCTTCTTAGATTCACTAGTTCGTAACCAATGTTTGTTGGTAAGAATGCCAGTCTATTGAAGCTCGCATCCAATTCCACCAATGACCTGGAATAGTGAAGACATTAAACTAAATAATCCTCGTAAATATTTGAAAAAGTCATGCAAAAAGAAACTTTGATTAACCACAATTACCTGCAATGACAAATGCTATCAGGCAAGGCATTTAGCTTGTTTCCAGAGACATCTAGGACCTTCAAACTAACCAACAATCCAATGGATTCTGGCAATGACTCCAAGAGATTAGAAGAAAGATTAAGCTCCTCGAGATTTTCAAGCCCTGCAATTGAATCAGGAACAACCTGTTTCCATCCAACGTAAACCAAATATCAGTAACAAAATATAAATTGCTAAAACCTCAGTCACTTGATGCTAGCCCAAAACCTAGCAAGTCAGCACATTCAATATTTCAAGTCGTCTAATATGATCATTTGTGTAATGATACATTTATGCATATGCCAAAACATTCTTTATTCCCAAAAACATCACGCAACAAGCTTATATGAATGAGCCACTGGCATAGCAGCACCAGCCACATGTGGATGCATTAACGAGTATATTGACCCAATTCGGCAGACAGCATAGTATAAAATTTTCAGCCAAACTAATATATAAATCACATAAAATTATGAATGTAGCATAAAAAATACTAGTACTACCAACGCCAGGAATTTTAAAATTTTGGATTAAACAGAACTACAAAGAAATTTCTCTGTGAAGGCAGATGCAAATTTAACATGTCACGCACCTATATACTCGAACTAGTGTGGTTGGTAAGATGGAGGTTCCAAACACCATAAGCACCTAAAATTCAATGCAATTGACATGAATTAACCATAAGAATTACGTGAGCTTCATCGTGTCAAGTTAGTCCAAAATTTGGAGTGGCTACTGTGGCTGACAAAATTTATACCGCTTGAACCACAAGATGCAATAGAGTGTAGCCAACACATCACCCAGAGCGCAAGATGAGATCACACAAATTATTAAACATTTATTGGCTAAACAACAAATTAACAATGTGTGAGATTGGGCGAAGCCTGATATTCTGAAATGAATCACTTGGCCGTTAGTTATTCACAGAGGTAAGAAAGACAAATTGAGGGTGCAACTTGGGCGCGTCAATCCGAGTCCAACCAAGTCTTTGGCCAGAGTTGCACAACTCTGTTTGTTGTTCAGGTTGGGCTTGGATTTAAACTTTTTTAACCCGAGTTAGGCTTGAACAGAGATTCAGCCAACCCGAGTCTAACCCAAACCTGACCTACATTAATATTAGTAATAATTATCTTATTGAAATATTAGTAACCCAATCCCAACCAAAGTCTAACACAAGCAACCCAAGTTATATATATATATATATATATATATATATATGAACTCAGGTTGAGCATATCGGGTTGGAGGTCAGGTGGCTCAGTTTATTGCTTGAGTTGGGCTTAGGTTGACCGCTCAAAAACCTAATTGTACCCCTAAGACAGACTAAACCTGAACTATGTCAATGTAAAACTATTCCGAACTGCTAAAGATTAAAAGATAGATTAAGCCCATATCTTGAGAAGATTCCAGAAAGAATTAGCAGAACTAAATACATGAGTAGGCAGATAGGAATGACACATCAGCCAATTGATAAAGCTTCTAAATTTCCCTTCTACATCAGGAATTACTTTCCCACCTAAGAAAAGCTTCACCAACGAGAAAGTTTATCAGCAAGAAATTACATAAAGAAGCAGAAATTAGACACTAAGAAGGAGATTAGAGAATATATGACCAAGAAGAGGATAATATCTATTCTCCTTCTTTTACCCTGAACATGTGAAAGAGGAGATTAGAGAATATATGACCAAGAAGAAACATGAAAAGGAACAAACAAACTTGTTGCCCGATTTTGATGACATCTATTATGAAGAAGATAAGGATGATGTCGCATTCTTGGTTCTCAGGGCAAAAGATTGGCAAGTGGAAGCGGCATTCAATCAAGCTCTAAAAAGCCAAGCAAAAAGGCTCCATTGATTTGTACTTCACCCCTCCTCCGGAAGTTGTCGTGCAAAATAGAAAAATTGGCCAGGGTAAGCACACGACAATTGACGATTCTTGCAAGAAAGAACTTAGAGAAAGAGCATGCCAACGGTTTGCAAGATGGATGTGTGATGTTGGGATATCATTCAATGCTCTTATATTGAACCACATTCAACCATGGCCAGGAAAATTGATATAAATAAAAAAATAAAAATAAAAAACCTATGTTTCAATTTCTTAAGTTTTTGTTCTCCTTCCTCCAGAGCTATGGTTTTGGTGCCAATTGGATTGGGTAGGTGAAGGAGTGTACATGCAATGTGAGGAATTCCCTACTAATAAATGGTTCCACATTTGGTTTTGTCCAACCTGGCAGGAGCCATTGTCAAAGCTTCCTTTTGTCCTCTCTCTTGTTTACACTAACTACCGAGAATTTCTCAAACATTGTGTCCAAGAAAGTTAGTAATGATCATATTCAGCCTTGACAGTCAGCTATGAGAGCTAGATCCCAGTTGTTTCGTCTGTTCTTTGCAGATGATAGAAGCTTTCCGCAGCTACTGCTATCCATAGATTGTCGGAAGACTTTGAAAATAAATCTGGTTTGGCTGTTAGTGCTGAGAAGAGCAGCTTTTTCTTTTCTAAAATAGTCTAGAGAAGAAGGGTCGTATGCAATACTTTAGTGTAAAATTGGTTCTTTCCCTATCAGATACCTAGGTTTGCCCTTGAGTTATATATTTTTTTTAATAAGTAAATTTCACCGAAAAAAATCTCAAAAGGGGACCATGTCCTGAAATAACTGCAAAAAGGCCAAAAGAAAAGCTACACTTTAGACCATCCACAAAATCAACTAACGCTCCCACAGATTTACAAATGTCCCCATATACCCAAAAAAATAAGGGACTAAGAATATAGAATTTCATCTCCCAAATAAGAGCCTCCACACTGTCGAAGCATCTCTTATTTCTCTCCAACCAAATACCCCACCAAATGCATAGGGAATGGCCTAAGAAGCACAGACACTCCAAAATGGGCGAAGAATCCGTATCCGACACGTGTCGGACACGGACACGCATCGGACACGCCCCGACACGTGTCGGACACGCCAAAAAACGTGTCTGGAATTTTTTTATTTTTTTTAATTTTCGGACACGGCTTGGACACGGCTCGGACACGGCTCAGACAGCTCGGACACGGCTCGGACACACTTTTCTGGATTTTTTTTTTTTTAATGCTGATATGTTAATTTTTTTTTTTTTTTTTTTTAAATTTTTAATGCTGATATGTTCTATTTTTTGTTTTGTACTACCCTAAAGATGCTGATATATATATATACTAACCTAAAGATGCCACAATTCGCCGTGTCCGTGTCCTAAAGATGCTGATATATATATATATACTAACATATCAGTGATATATATATATATTCCAACCTAAACATATCAGTGTTTTTTTTTAAAATTATTAATGCTGATATATATATATATATATATATATATATATATATACTATTCGCCGTATCCGTGTCCTAATTTTTTTGGATTTGCCGTGTCGCCGTGTCCGTGTCGTGTCGTATCCGTGTCCGTCCTTCTTAGGGAATGGCCCTCTGAGCCTCTCTAGAATGAGCCCCTTCTGAGAATGCTCACCACACTTCTAGAGCATTCATAGAAAAATCTGGAATAACCCAATTAACGCCAAAAATGGAAAGGAACATGTTCCACCCGTCCCTGGCTACCGAACAATGCAAAAGAAGATGATTCACCAACTCCTCATCCCTCTTGCACAAACTGTACCTGTTAACCAAAAATTGACGCCTCCGTCTCAAGTTATCAATGATCAGAATCTTCCCCAACGCTAAGCCACCCTGGGAGGAGCTTTTGTACGCCAAAGACTTTGCAAGAGTAAGCCATTTTCATCTTGTATTCTAGTGTGCCATTTTCAAACTTCCCGTAGCTGTGAAGAATGGTATCCAGAAACAATGTAAGAATTTCCTTCGGGTTACCTCAGATAAGAACAGAAAATAACCAGGTCACAAAAATTGAGGAAGAAGGGGGCCTTAGACTGTGATTTCCTCTAAAGTAAGGACAAGTTATGGGTTGCTTGGTTTCAAGCCAAATCCAACTCACAGTTTTCCAATTGACTTGCCATTCCATCTTGCTACCAGTCACTTTCTTGGAGGAATATGTTAAGTGTGAAGGAGATCATGTTGCAGCCCAATTCAAGTAAGTTTGATTAGTTGTCTAACTCGTTTGGCCTACAGTTCAGATGTACTGCTCTTCCTCGGATGAAATTTACTGCTATCCAGTGGGGTATTTGGCAAGAGAGAAACTCCAAACATCATAAGCGAGTGTCTTCTTCCAGCCATCATCTTGCTAAATCTCTTTGGTTCACAGATCTTGATGTTGCAGGCCTTAGATCAGAAGGTGTGCTTTCCTAAGCTAGTTAGGTTAATCTTCCCCTAGGACTCGAAGTGAATGTATTCATTAGTTTGTTGATAGAGGTAATTCCCTCTTCTCCTATGTACATTATTTTTTGATATTTTAATGAAATATACACCACCCATTTATGAGGAAAAAACTTAAAGATATTATGTTTGTTGTGACTTGGGACTGAGATATTCTCTATAACAAGGGTATTTGGAAAGTTTTTAAATCCTTGATTTTATTACAAGTTATATTGTAAGGTATTAAAGTTGTTATTATAATTATCTGATAGGGAATTGGAATGAACCAAATTTAGAGGAAATAACTTCGTAATGGTGGTGATAGTGTACATTTAAGGTTGTGACTCAAATCAAGTGTGCAATTATGAATTTTGGCATGTGGAATTTGGAGCATGACATACACAGCCATTTAAAGTCCAATTCATGTCAATCGATACAAAAAACAAAAGGAGAATATCCTACAGTGGTGAAGGGATCTCCAGTCCCTTGATTGCGTGATGAACTTTACTGTCCAAGTAAGCCAAACATGTAATAAAGAGTAACATATGTAACCATTTATGATAATATGGTTATGCGAGGACTAGCTACAAGTGAGGTACACCACAAAAATATAATAGCATGTAACAGGCACAATGAGTAAGTAAAAACCATAAACATGAATAACAATTAGGCTAGTTGCAATGAATTAAGTATACCCATTGGCATGTATAATAGAGAATTCAAATTCTAAATCTTTATTGAGAGGATTAATTAGGCTAACCTTAAGCAGATTAGATGACAGATTGAGCACAACCAATCCCCGAATCCTCCCAAACTCCTCCGGAAGAAACCGTAAGTTCCTCCCAGAAAGATCAATCCTTTCCATCCCCTTCCCTAATGCCTCCTCTAAAATCCCAATCACCTCCTCATTCACCAAATCCTCCTCCGCCTTCAAATCCTCCCCCGATGCCTCATTTGGGGCCTCATCGCCACCCGCCACGGCCGACTCGTAAATCTTCTCCAACTTCTCCTCTGCGTCCTTCAACAGCTTCTCGTACGAGTCGTGCATTTCGTCCAGCTCAATCACCGCCTTGTACATCCGCCTCTCTTCCTTCGCCGCTCGTTTCCACTCCTCCTCCTTCTCCTGCCGATTCGACCCGCCCTCGAGCTGATCGGCATCAGACAGCGTAATTTCCTCGAGCTGATTGGAGAGCTTGGAGTCGATCTCTTTGAGCTTGGCCCTGGCAATATCAATCGATTCGTGGTCGGGCCGATCGCCGAGAGTTTTGAGAACCGATCGGGTCTGGGAGACTTCTGAGACGGCCAGTCGCATGGAGGCGATGAGTTTGGGGTCGGTGAGGCGGGGCATCTGATCCGTCAATTCGAATGATGGTTCGGCCGAAGCCGAAGCATCAGACGGTAGCGGCGGTGGCTGTTCGACGTCGAAATCAGAGGCATCGGCGTGTTGTCTGGGCCCGAAACTGGGGAGTTTGGACAAGACGAAGGACAGAATCGGGAAGTTTTTAGGGTTCGGATCCATTGCTCTGTTCTAGAGAGAGATGGTTTTAGAGAGAGAAAGAAGACAGGGTGAAGCTTTCGCTAGGGTTTCGAATTCGATTCATTATTGCTCAACAATAAGTCAGAGACGGAGGGAGCTAAACGAATCTATAACCGTTTTGAATCAAAGATGCTGAGTCTGTATTGTACTTGTGTGTGATACAGCGAAAATGAGAGGATTGACAACTTCTATTTAACGACTTCAAAACCGTCCGGTGATGTGGCATGATTTTAGCGCTTGTTTTATTTTGTTTTATTTATTTACGTTTACACAGCTAATTTATGGAAGAAAACAAAAGGTCAAAAAACAAAAAATCAGTTTCCTTATCCAATGTTTACCAATCCAACATAAGCAAAAGACTTGGTCCCGTCTAATTTTGTCATAAAAAAACTATGAGAATGGAAAATGAAAAATGACAAGGGATTAGGCTGGTGGCAATTATAAATGATAAGGATTAGGCTGGTGAGGAAAAAAATAAAAAGAAAGAGAAAAAGAAAAGATAATCTTAGGTACGAGGGAGAAAATAATAATAATAATATTGAATAAATTATGAAGGTAAAATATAAAGAAAATGACAACATGTTGGGAAAGGTACAAGGAAAAAAAAAATTATTATTGTAATTTACTATCATATCCTTTTATATGTATATTATATATTAATTAAACATATTTTTGTCATTTTATTATATGTAGCTTGGTAGGTTTGGTCCAAAGTTAGGGTGATTGAGATAGCCAATGAAATGTTAATTACGACAATTTTTTTTATTTCTCCTTTATTCTCTCTATAAAAACCTATTTAACAGTTTGTACCCTTGTAGTTGCACCTAGATTGGTTTCTATTGTTTACCTCCACGTCGACGTCAATTCAGATAGGTATCCAAGTAAGAGCTTGAGCTCCTTCTCTTTCCTAGTATGGCGGCGGGAGGTAATCATATGAGAAACAACAAGGTTTAGCAAAGCTAACATAACCAATATTATTTAGTGGCCTAATAAATAAAATATCTAATTCTCTTGAAAACTAACGAGTCCGTATTCGAATACCCATTATCCTTGATTATCCTTCAAATTATTGAGAAAATAGCAATATTCATTTAATAAATAAAATTGCCTGCATTACATGGTGACGTGTAATTACTCATTTAATAATTATTGAAGTTTTATTTTTCAAATGTATGGTTGAAGACTGACTCGCTGGTGGTATGCTCAGCCATAATGAAGGTGGAGAATTGCCATATTAAAATTCAAGCTCTAGTTTTTGATATTGTAAAGGAAAATAATATTTTTGTCGACAACTTTTCACCGACTCCATTCCGACTGACCGACGTGACAGGACACGTTCAATCTCTCACACTATACCAAATTTCTCCTCTCAAACCCTCTCTCGTCGTTTGTTCCTCAACTTTTTAGCACAAATTTGGAGCCCTGAGTATCTCAAACTCTCTCGCCCCTTTGTTCTCTCTCGTTCCCTCACATGACATCCCAAATTTTTTTGCACGGATTTGGACTCACAATTATTCTGTCTCTGCAGTGTTCACTCTGGTTCACTCTTACACTCCATCCCTAATTTTTTTTTTTTCCCCATAAATTTGTAACCTAACTTTAATCTCTCACCTCATTCTCTCACTTCTATGAAATTTAGGACTGAAAATTCAAGATCTGAAATAATAAGGCTTAAAAAATACGATCTCAAAGTAAGGAAAACAAGATTAGTTTCACAAAACAGAACAATATATATATATATATATATATACAGATTCAGAAAAATTGTGAAATATTTTACATAAACTTAAATTCAAATCAAATCGAGACGTGGTTTTTGTTAGTTGTAATTCAATGATTTTTTCGGTTACTATATTGTTAGAGGCGATCCTTTTGTTTTCATAGAAGTTCAATTAGAGAAAAGAAAGATGAAATAAAAAATAAATAAATAAATAAAAGGAGCAATAAGAGTTGCATTGTCATTTGACACATATTCAGCCATCATTTGACACGTATTCAGCCACGTAAGGAGTCGTTAGTAGTAGGTTTTTTATAGTCAGGCAAAATAGCATCACTCTATTATAAATAGGTGTATCGTGGGACCACAACACGTGGCATTATTTCTGGAATTTTTCTCTTGGTCAGAACTGAATAGACCATGCCAGTACCTACCTAGCACCCTTCTGAAGGAGACCAAGTAACCTCGAATTACTTGGCCCAAAACTATGTATACTGTACGAGGAAAGGGTCGCCACCCTTCTCTCTCCTGTGGAGGGACCCCGCTCCAGTAGGATGGGTCCCACCTTTTATACCATTTTTGGAAGCTCTATCCTGTAGACAGACTTCCCACTGTGAAAGAAGGAATCTTCCACCCCGAGCTCATCTGCTTACGAGACTCAGGGAGTGAAGCGAAAATGGGGAGTCTTGGGGAACCTAGAAGGCAGAACCCCGAGGGACCCTTTTTCTCATTTTTGACATCGGGAATACGAGGTGTGGTGGATAGACGGCTGGAATCTAAGGATGCGCCTTGAAGCGAGGCCAGCACGAGAGGGAGAGGATCATTATTTCCTAAGACCGAGCTCTTACCAAAGGGCAGACGATGCATTAGATGCACCAGCTATCGACATGACTTGCATTAAATGAAGAAAATGACCACCCCTCCAACCAAGACACAAATCGCCTCGGACCACCTGCCGGTAGCGGGAGCGATTAGTCGGATATGGATTGAACAAAAAATCCGATAACCTGATTACGATCCAAATCTAATAATCCGTTAGCTTAACAAATCGGATATAGATTATGCTGATCCGATTTGATAATAATCCGATCCGATCCAATTAAAATTATATATATAGTTAATTATAGATCAATACTCATATTAGAATTGTATTAGAGGTAACCCAAAAATCCAAAATAAAAAATAAAAATCATAATGTTATATATACAATAGTATGGTGTTCTCATTCACATACTAATAAATCTTTTAATATACATACTAAGAATATCATACTCTTTATTCATTAACAAAGAGTAAATATTTTTTTTTTTCTTTTCCTTTCATATTAGAGTAAATTTTTCTTTTCTTTTCCTTTCATATATTCTCCTTTGACATTAATTTATATTTTTATCTTCTGTTTTATATATATATAAAACCTACATTTTTATCAGACCGGATTGGATTATTGGATCGAATATCCATTTATTAATAAATTGGATTCGGATTAACTTACAAAATATTCATCGGATTATCGGATCAAATCAGATCGACTAACATGCTTATCGGATTTGGATCAGATCAAGTCTGATCTGATCCGAATCCAATCCGTTTACAAGTCTACCTGCCAGTGTCCCATCCATTAGAGGCACGACCATTAGACCCGTGGGCAAAAGAGGAGTCATCCTCGTGGCCAGAGGTCTTTAACCGAAGGAAGTAGTATAAATAGGGGAGATAATCACACATTAAAACACAGACCAACAACCCCCTGAGCTCGAGTTACTTAGGCATTAATCTCTGTCTTCCTTCTCTTAATCTCACTAAGGAGAATATCTCGTGCTGCTTAGATTCCCCCTCAGACACCGAATTTTGCATTCTTGATCTACATGGAATAATCTCCTCACCTTCAAAGAACTTTCATCAACAAATATCAAGGCAAAGTTTTAAAGTTTTTTTCTTGTTTAGATTAGTTATGTGCGCGGCGTAGCAACAATATCCCCATGAAATGGCAAAAATCTCCAAACCCTGTGTTTGTGAGGTTATTGAGTTATTGTATTATCATATACGCTAAGGCTTCGTTTGGATACATAGGAGAGAAAAGAAATGAAAGGATAACATTAGATATGAGAGAAAAGAAATGAAATAAAAGGATAATTATAATTTATATTCATGTTTAGATATACTGGAGAGAAAAGAAAGGAAATAATAATATTGGATAAAATAGAGGAGAGAAAAGAAATAAAAGGATAATAAATGTGATACCCCTCGGATCCGAGACACGGGTTGATAAGGCCCAGGCCCAAACCCGAGGGAATATCAAACAATTAATATTTTATAATGAACACGGAATACAAAATAAATTAAGAAATGAAATTAAAGCTGGAAGGAACTAAAAATAGAATCCGCAAAATATTATAATTATTAAAATCCATCAAACCCAAACTCCAAAACTCCATCAGTTTACAACTTGGGAATCTATCTCTAGTGGACCCCTATTAAACATCCAAACGGAAGATAGAACAACTGTAATAAACGTCTAGAAATAAAACTATAGAGAGAGCCCTATATCGTCGGAAGAGTGAATAGAGACCTCTGCTCAGCACGAACACGTCTAAGCCTGGAACTGTCGTGTACCTGAAAAAATAGAAGTTGGTCAGGCCCACGCGCAAGTTCTATACTACTACAATCCAAACAGAGGCCCGATACGCATGTACATCCTAAACAATTCAACAATAGCTGATAGTCCGTAAATATATATATAGTCACACTAAAGGACTCTCACTGGACTACAGGCCGGTCTCAACCTGAATAGAGGTAACATGCTAAAACGCACACGAAGTGGGCATATGTACCTATACCTAAACAGGATACACCTCCAACCATCGTAGCCAGCTACACATCCCGATGCATATCCGCTCCCTAGCCATCGGTCCTGAGGCTCAAGCTCATACCGAGGCACCATAACAGTACATATATAAAATCCATCCAAAATCTCTGGTATTGCCGCTCAACAAGTAGTTGCCATGACAATACAAATCCACGGGACTTAACTTTTAGTTAATCCCATCCTTATTCCAAGTAGGTGGGTAATGGTATTATTTTAAAAACCAAACCCATCCTTAGTATGCCACCGTCCCATACCGGTGCCTACTTTCCAATCCTTCAGTAGTCAATAATACCAATAAATCAAGTATATATCAACTAAATTCCAACATCCAACATTCAATGTTAGCAGTGATAAAATAAGCATTGATAAACAGGGTCACAACAACAATATATACATGCCCAATTTAAGTTGTTCCCTTTAGTCTGATATAAAGACAGAATTAATTAAAACTTCCATTTAACACCTTACAAATGACATACAGATATGTAGGGTATGTATCACAAAATCCTAACCTCCACAGTTGATACTAACTGTGATAATGTAAGCATCAAAACAATATTCACAGTATGTATGTAGACATGCTCAAATTATAGTGTTCCACAAAACCGATCTAGTGTTAAACTCAAATCCTCCTAGTATTTAAGTTCCAACAATTGCTATTACAAAAGTTAAGATAGCTATCATCTAGACCCATCCTTCCAATAATTTATACTAGCAGTGGTAAGGAAAACGTGAACCACAGAACCACAATGTATCCACAAATATGCTTAGTCTAGGTTGAACAAGCATACAACACTACTGTAACTACCAGTTTCATAGCAAAACAGATATCATTTTAGTTTGGTTTAATCTTCATTAATCCTGAAATCATTTAAGAGTGCAAAGAGTATGAAGCCTAAGGGAAAGAGTAAGGATAGAATCTTGCCTCAGAAACTTTTGTTCAAAGTTTCAACGTCGTCTTCTTAAAAAAATCCCGGCAAGTTCCAAAACCCGGTTACTGTTCACGGGTACGAAACACTATTTCTGAACTCAAAATCGGATCTCCACCGTTCAGATTGTGCGACACTGAGTCATGAACCTATCCTCCAAATTTCAGCTCGATCGGACAACGGACGAAGCGGGATCGGATGTTTGATGAAATCTGGGCAGAATGGAAAAAAACCTGTGCGACCCAGTTACTGTTCACGAGTACGAATCACTGTTCCCGAGGTCAAACTCTGATCTCCACCGTTCAGATTGTGAGTCACTGAGTCGTGAACCTCTCCTCCAAAATTCAGCTCGATCGGACCACGGACGAAGCAGGATCGGAGCTTTGATCAAACCTTGGCAGAATGTGAAAAACTGCGTTTTTCCTTCTCCACTTCCACAAAACGTATGCTTTGTTTAAAAAAACCCTACACAAACGTCTACCTTATACTTATAGAGTTTTCCTAAACCCTAAGTTCATTTAAGTCCAACTCACAATCCTAACCGGCCCATCCAATTAACGTAGAAATCTACGACGGCCATAATATAAAACCCTAATTTATACTGTAATTAAACCCTAGTTAGATGTATTTACCTAATTACCCTATTCACCATTAAATACTTAACAAATAATCTAATTGAACAAAATAATAATTAGTAAACCCAATTAAATCAAATAAGACACACATAAAATAAGACACACATAGATTAATTAAACCAATTACACTTAAACCATTAATGCCAATTAAATAATTAAAACACTAACAAGTAATTCCAATCAAATAACTAAACCAATTACACTTAAACCATTAATGCCAATTAAATAATTAAAATACTAACAAGTAATTCCAATCAAATAACTAAAAATAAATATCATTTAAATAAATTAAATCAGCACAAAAGAAAACAATTAAGCACCTAATAAAAAAAAATAATGACACATAATTAAATAAAATGCACTTAAATAATAAATTAAATACCATTAAATACCAGGAATATCCTTTTTAAAATTATGGGTATTACAATAACCAAATTACCATCATACCCTTTTGTATTTAATCTAAATCAAATCACTTGTGTTTTCAAAATCTACCTAGTGTCAAATTAATTTGCAGGTCTCCTTCAAATGCTGAAAACTTAGGTGGTACTAATTCCCTAACTAGGTTTATATAATTAATTAATGTAAACTATAAAAAATGATCATAGAACAAAGTAACTATACATGACTATAACATGTACAGTTACTATATGTCTTGGGGTATGATAATTCACGACTGCTCCATCAGTTACGGTACAACAAATTGGTTATTTTTTTATTTTTTATTTTTTATTTTTTATTTTCAGGTTTCAGGAAATTGTTCCCCTGAATACATGAAAATGACTAGCCCTTATAAGCCAACCACTTAACAAACCACATCATGGCTCCATGAACCCTAACGCTGATTCAAGCCATAGTTCGAAACAATCACACACTAATTCTGTAGATTAAGGTACTTAGATTATGTTATGTTATAAAGACTTGAAAGGAATTACAAATTTGTGCATCTAATTTTGAAGGTTAGTTTTGGCAATATGAAAATGCCACTAAACCTACTTTCTTTTCTTTTCAAATCTTCTCATATTTGGAGGGATACAAGTTGAGAGAAACGAACAGAGATAGAATCAGACCGATTCCCGAAATGCTTTTCTGGATATTCCTCAATGTCTTGGCTATTCACGGAATCATCTGCTTCCGGAAGAAATCGAAGAATTTCTTGGGAATCCTACAAGATCCATTCGTTCTTTTTCCTCTGACAGATGGTCAGAACTTCATCTGGGTTCGAATCCTACTGAGAGGTCCACTAGAGATCAGAAATTGTTGAAGAAACAACAAGATCTTTCTTTTGTCCCTTCCAGGCGATCGGAAAATAAAGAAATGGTTAATATTACTATGGTTCGAGAGAAAGTAACAGTATCTACTCGGATACTACAGTGGAAGTGTGTTGAATCAAGAACAGACAGTAAGCGTCTTTATTATGGACGCTTTAGTCTGTCTCTACTTATGAAAGGTCAAGCCGACACAATAGGCCTACCTCCCGTAGGAGTCTGGGCCGTGTCTCAGTTCCAGTGTGGCTGATCATCCTCTCGGACCAGCTACTGATCATCACCTTGGTAAGCTATTACCAACTATCCCTCTAAATCATTTCCAATCCTTTCTTTTCTCTTCATTAAAATTATCCAAACACAATATTCATTATCCTTTCCTTTCTTTTCTTTTCCTTTCCCCCCAAATCATCTCATCCAAACGAGCCCTAAGGTATTAGGTATGCAGTGGTTGTTGTTTACCAGGAAAGAAAAAATAAATAAATAAATAAATTTGGTGACATTGTATATATATTACCAAATCATTTTATCCAAACGTGCATTGTATATCAACATTATCCAATATTAAAACCCAGAAAGAGAACGTGACCAATAATTGAAGGAATACCTACTCCTCATCCACAGGTGATCGCAACCTTGCCTGTGGACGAACCTTCCTTCTACCATCTTACGACCACCAATAATTGAAGGAATACCTACTCGTCATCCACAGGTGATCGCAACCTTGCCTGTGGACGAACCTTCCTTCTACCATCTTACGACCACCCTTCGAAGCTTGCTATTTTGGAGAAGACGAGATCCTCTCTTTCGCTCTCTATATATACACTTCAAACTCATTCTTCCACTCTCACACCTCTCCCATTTCATATTCTCTCTCTAGATTTCTTCATCTACTTTCTCTCTTTATATTTCCGAGCAATTTAGCTTCAGCTTACTCTACAAGTTCTCTCTCTATTTGACAATGGCGACACACGAAGAAATCTCAGCTTTGGAATTCATCAGACAACACCTCCTCGGTGAATTTAACGCGAATTTTGTTCTTTCAAGCTCTTCATCTGAATCACAAACCGCAAGCTGTGACCAAGTTAACAATAGTGATCTATTCGATTTTCCCCCCAATTCGATCAATTTCGAGCAAATTCAAAGTGATTTCTTTGAATTGGAATCGAAACCGCAAATAATCGATCTCACGAGTCCAAAGTCGCTAAATTTGGACTTCCAATCGAATTCTGAGTCGAGCTTCAACGATCGCAGGCCTTCGATGAAGAAATTTGAGGTTTTGGAAATCGCCGAGTCGACTCAGTCATCGAGAGTGGTGTCTGTGAAGAAAGGATTGAATGCAGAGGAGAGGCCACACTACAGGGGAGTCCGGCAAAGGCCGTGGGGCAAGTTCGCGGCGGAGATCCGAGATCCGACCCGTCACGGGTCTAGGGTTTGGCTCGGCACATTCGACACCGCCATTGAAGCCGCCAAGGCTTACGACCGAGCCGCATTCAAGATGCGCGGAACCAAAGCTATTCTCAACTTTCCGCTCGAGGTCGGGAAGTCGTATGACACAATTGCCGCCGTGGATGGCGGCCGGAAAAGACACAGAGACGTCGAAGCAGAGGCGGAGCAGAAGCCGTTAAAGAAGGAAAGGTTGCCGGTTTGGGATCAAAATGTCAACGGTAGCTTTACCTTCCCTCCCTTATCGCCGTTATCTCCCCACCCGGCGTTGGGTTATTCCCAGCTTATGGTCATATAATCCTCTGAACTCTGAACTATTGAGTGTACATAAAGAGTGGCTGTGGGACAGTGATTTCGCCAAAAGATGAAGTGTATATTTATTTGAATATTAATTCAACTCATTTTTTTCATAATCATCAGATGAATTGGTTTGAAATTTTATGTCCTTGCAAAAAGAGTTTAATAAGTTTCATGAGGATAAAAGGAGTGTAAGTTGCCCTGCGGCTGCAGTGAGGTGAATTTTTGATGTCTGGACAAATTGTATCCAAGTATACTGTGGTATCTGAAGGAATCGTATAGTATACTGTGTGTGTAACTTCGAATCCCTTTTGCTGTGTAAGTCGACCGTATGTGACCAAGTCGATGGTATATGAGAAAAACTTCTTTGTACCGTGAAATTTCTTTGCGCCTGTTGCACAGTATAACGAACACATTCAACTGTTTTATTACTATGCGTGTATTTACGTGTATTAAACAAACGCATGTATTTACGTGTATTACACAAACGGTCTAAACACATCCAACCGTTTATTACCACGTGTGTTACACGAACGGATGGTCCAAATGCAAAGAAGTAGGACCAGCTAGCACGGTTGGGAGTCCTCCAATTAGAATACCTTAAAAAAAACTATAGATATTTCCCTCCATATCGAAGTACACCTAAACATTACCTCTATTGGGCTGATTGCTGTGAAAAATACTATTTCATAACTGGAATATCAAATTAATTTTGCCTTGATATAAAATATAGTAACTACAATATTCCAGTAAGGGGTACATCTCTGAATCGTTACTAACAAACAAGGAGAAAAGGTATACAAAGAAACCATGTTTTGACACACAAACAAAAACAAATCAAAACAACAAAAAATGTGATAATTGTTCATGGCTAAGAATGTTGTACTCCAAAAATAACATTGATGCAACCTTAAATTAGTAAAAACACTCGCAAAATGATGATTGATTGTCACTGAGGTTTTCCGAACCAAGAAAATACTGAAAGATGGTGCTGAAACGTTTGTCAGATGGAACTATCTTGTCAAGCCGACAATAAAATCTCTCTTTCAGCCAGCTCAAATATTTCCTTCAATCTATTGGTGAGCTTCTCGGTTATGTTTCGAGTTATTCTCTGCTGGAACTTTGTGCTCTTCAGCCACATGACGCCGATATAAACATCGCACTTGCATGAACACGGATCAAGAGCAGAGTTCTCAATGTTGTACCTAAACTGGACCTGCACATGGGAAGAAAACATTTTCACTACTGTAGTATCCAACTGGGGCTCTAAAATATGAAATTTCACATCAAATGTGTGCCCATTTTATTCTCACTTACACGGAAGTGGTCACCAAATGGGACATTGTGAAGGGCCATTATCTCACTGACAATCCACCCTTTGTCGATTGCAATGGGAGATTTTTGCTGTGTGCAGGTAACTTCCCCTCCAAAGACCGAAACACGACGGTTGAACTTGTAAAATAGACGTCTTTCATATGCATGAGGCTTCACTGGTTCCCAATTCGTTGTCATATAATTAAGACAGCCAGATTTTCCCATCACTTCCTGCTCCAGAGTTCCTCCATCAAACATTTCCATCATCGATTTTATCTGTTCCATTGTCCAACAAAGTTTCAGCACCAATTGTCAATGTGAAACAAATACTCTATAGGGGGAAAATGCAGCAGAATCAAACTGGTTCTATCCCCTCTCCCACAACCACTCTTCTGTACTCGGTAAGGAACAGCATAATACCGACTTTAATCAAGATTTAACTAAACAGTAAGGTACTTTGTAATAAGGACTACACCATTGTTTAAAGTCTCCATTAAATCACAGAAATTCCGTAGCTACAAACCCACAAGGCATTGTACAAATTCATATTCCATTATTTCCATAGTTCAAAACTTTTTCTATCTTGTCAATGAGTGACACTAGGAGCCTCAATATATATTTTTTTTTTTGAATGGTAGGAACCTCATTAACTCCTTATTCTTGTCTTGTTTTCCTCTATCCAAATTTTTAATTGGAAAAATGAAATAAGGCCTATTACCTCAGATCCACACAACAAGGCACACCTCTGGGCTCATGACCAAACAATGGAGAAATGAATGCAATTAATTGACCACTTACATTAACAGGAAGTTCTGTGGAGTAAACCTGGGACATCTTTGCATCTTCAACAACCAAACAAGATCCAGTGTCTTCAAGCAGAAAAGATGGTCCATCTTGATCCTGCTGCTCTTCTGCAATATCTACTTTCTGATCTGAAGTCAATGTTCTTGTCCTCCATAAGGCCATAATTGTCCTATCAGTACAACAGAATGAGCAATCCCTTTCAAATACAAAAAATTACAGAATGAACAAAATCATCCTCATCCATGTGAAAAACAGGTACTGTTAAATTCTGTCACCAAACTGTTACCTGCTGGCTGCATTGATGGAAACAAAGGATTGGAAATAGAACCGAAGCCTGCCTTCTTCATCTTGAGACTTTGCACCATGCATAGCATCAAGACCTCGACCTTTTCGCAGAACTATGACCAGTGTGGGGCTGCCAACAGATGCCAGAGATGGGGGAAGCACTTGAATATCTTCAATATCTTCCCACAGAAAGAAAAATTTGGTTTTATGTCCAAACAAGTTGGCATAAAATCCAACAATCCTTGCAGATAGAAAGAGCCGCCCCTGCACCAAAAGGATATCTGAACTCCAAAGAATAGAAACTAGAACACTAGCAAGAACTTAAGACTACTGATGATTTTATGCAACTATACACACACACACACATATAGAGAGAGAGAGAAAGAGAGGGAGAGGGTTTTGGTGCTCCATCCATTTAGATTTCAATAGCAAGTAGAACTTCTAATTTTGCGAATTAATAATGCTCTTGTACACCACTAACTTCTGTGTGAAATGTCAAGCTAAACATTACAGGTTGACCGATTTCAAGACACAGATGTGCCTATAAAAAATCACAATTATCATTCTATGCTCATTATACTCCCCCCAAATCATATTCAAGCGACAGCTTACCTTTTCTTCTTCTTCTTCTTTTATTTTTTATTTATTTATTTATATGTTTTCCTGACAAGAAACTCACACCCCCACATGCCCCTATGGGGACTTGAACCCTAGACCTCCCACTTCAGGAGGTAGGGGATATCCCCCCTCCCCCCCCCCCCCCCCCCCCCCCCTCCTCTCTCTCCTTTCATACAAGACATCACAGCTATGAGTAGTACCTGTAGTGGCATCTTTCTTTTCAAGGAGCATGAGAAATCACTAATAAGAAATTCTTCCGGTGGCAACCCAAAAAATTTCTGGAAAGTTGAATTCCTGTGAGGCGACCGAAGGTTCAACTGGAAAGCATGTTTCATGGGGTTAGAGCAACACTAGCAGATACAAAACTATGCATAAAATGGAGGTATGTACAAAGTATGCTAAATTAAATAAGGGTACCACACAGGGACAAGAAACAAGTTCTGTTGTGTAACCTCAAATAATAAGAGAAACAATGCAAGAAATTTTGTACCTTCTTTCCAACTTCCTTTTCCATCTTCGTCAAATAGTCTTTAATGGTTTCAACTCCATTGTTGTTGTCCAAAAAAATTCTAAGGTGCAACTTTGACTGAGAAGACTGAGCAAGTTTTCCCTCCAGAGCAACCCACATGTCTGCCAATTCAGTAGATGTGTGTTTTACAAAATTGATTTCAGCATGCCCAAGTGAGGCATCCTGGTCAAATGGACCATCAAAATCAAAAACTTCCACATCCAGCACTGAGGGTGGTTCTTCCAAAGCATCGAACTCAAGGATCTCTGAATGAATATGAAGTGAGCCAAACATGAACAATTTTAACTATTACCAAGTAAAAGGAAACCATAAAATTACTCAAACCAAATAGAGATTCACCATTCCATTGAGGATTGAGGGTATGCAGCTTGACAGAGCTTGTTCTCGTTTTACCGTTACAGGTGAACACCACGTAGGGATCTGGGAACTCTGTTGAATCCAAGGAAGCTAAGTTCATTCCTTCAACCAAAGCGACTGTAAGCACCCATCCATCACCTTGGGCTTTGACTCCATGGTCACTTCCTGTTAGTATAATGAAGATTCAAGCGAATCACAGTACGACATTACAAAAACAATACAAAGTTTAATAGTACATCAAATTCAGCACAACTTGAATGTTTACCTCTATGAAACCTAGCTTGTACAAAGTGTAATACCATGTTATATACACGCTCGAGTTGAATGATCAAAATTCCACAGGTGATGAGTTCTCCAAAGCTGTCTGGCAAATCGAGACCACTAATTTCCAACCCTTGGAGCTTGCTGTGTCCACAAACTAAAATATGCGCCAAGACATACAAAATCATAAAGGCAGTGGAAACCACAGTAAAATTCCAGAAATACTTGGTTGCCAATTCCCAATCTGACTGGTACTCAGTTTGCAAAGTTGCCAGAACATGGTCTTTGTCCAATATATCTGCAGAATTTACCGATTTATAAGTTTTAGCTAGCAAGCTGGCAAATTGATCAAAACTCTCCTTTAATCCCTGCCGAGCTCCTCCCTCTATCATGCCTCTCATCATAGTGTTCTGATTGAATTTCATGCCCCAGGATACTACAAGACAAGATGTTTCTTCTCCAGAAGAAAGCTCTGGCCCAGGCATTATCCTGTAAAGTAATTCGACATTGAATGTATTTCCAAATGGAACATCTGGTGTACTTACATTTACCAAAATAGCAAATTCTCCTCCATCTGCCTTAATATAGGTTTGCCCCTCAGTGGCTTTAACAGCCTTAACTAACTTGGTTGCAGCTTTTGTGTAAGTAACAACTCGTGTTAAACAGGAAATATTATCTGATTTCCATGTCCAAGGCCCCTCTTGTACATCTGTTGTTCCCTGTAGTTCTGCCAGATCTCGCCTGAAGTGTGAGTTGGGAGCAAAAAGAAACATGTTGAGATCTTTGGATGGTACCACATACGTCTGATCCAAAACAGTGCCCCCCTGCAGGTTCTCAGGCATTTCTCGTTCATCATTCGTTGACTGCATCATCTCAAGACCACCTTCAAAACTACAGCTAGGGGGAGGTTCCTCCATGGAGTCCTCATAATCAGACAGAGTAGTGGATGATAACTCTGAGGAATCATCATCTCTTGAAGTTGCTTCATTCTTATTAAAAAGCCTCTCCAAACGGCCCGCAATAGCCTTCAGAACATGTTTCCCTTCTTGGATCTTCCGAGATGGAGCTCTGCAGCAAATATCTTGAAATGAATTATATGTGCCTTCCCATTCTTTAGAGCCTCCACTTCTAATACTTGGATGTACATAGGAAACGTGGTTGGCAGATATAATTTGGCCTCTACCATGAAGAGAAAGAGTGACAAGAATTTTCCCTGCATCTGCGGAATGAAGTATTTATAGAACAAAATTGTCTCTTTGCCTAATTAATCACACTTTGAGTCTATAACTTTTACCAAGGGACCAAGAACAACAGGAACCTAGTGCAATTATTGAATAATAGCACTTTATTGAATTCGCCTTTAAAAATAACTTGATTATTGTTTTATCTGTTTGAATTCATTCAAAAGGTGAATTAGGAAGGAAAAAAAAAAAAAATCATTCAAAAGGTGCAGCTACTTACCCTTCCATGTACAAAAGATCACACTTGTTGCGGCACAATCAAGTGCCTGAAGAAGTCATTTCCTCTTTATATGTGAACAGTGGATTTGGTTTTGGACTTGCAAATTCTAAAAGCAACTAAAGCAGGTGTTTGGGGAGCAAGTGGCTTTTGATGATCAATGGTCATTACAAACAATCAGCTCCTGAAGAACTGTTTTGATACAACAACCACCAAGCCTTTTTCGCAACTACTCAGGGTCAGCTACATGAATACTATGTTTCAATTCCATTCTTTTAAGGCCATAGCCTCGGTCAATCCACATGCTATTATATCCTTCCTTACTAACTCTACCCACTTTAACCCTGGTCTTCCTCTCACCCTAGTACCTAAGGAACTGTTTTGAAGTCCCACCTAAAATTGGAAAATGGAATGGTCCAATATGCTTGTAATTTCAATTAAAATGGTAACAGTGAAATACAAAAAAATCATTAGAATCACAAATTTAAAACCTATAAATTTACTTCTCCAATGCCCTTGATTTAAAGATCTGATATATACCCATGCCCCAACATGGAAGACAACAAAATCATAAATGCAAATTACGGGCTTTAGGTGAGCCTTATTAAAAATTAACCCTAATTTAAACTAATGTTAAGAAAAGCATGTAGAATTAAGTACCCTCACCAGAAAGAAAGAAAAAAAAACTCAACCAATTCAATTAAAATATTATGCACAAAAAATTGCATAATACAATGGACTTATATAATTTCCATGGATGTCCAAGTGCTCCATACATTATCAAAGTCTAGTGGTGTTGACAAATCATAAGATAACTATCCATTGTTTGATATACCAAAACAATAATCAGCAAAGCAAATAAAAAATTCTCAAAGTAATATGAATACCAGCCAAAGAAGAAGAAATATCCCATTTCAGTTTTACCCTTATTCCTTTGTATTTGTTATTAGTTCTACAATGTTCCCTTATGATGAAAGACAGTTGATTCACTCACACACACAAAATGAATTGGTGCAAATGAGGCAAATTTATTATAATTCTATCTTAATTTCAAACTTCGAACTTTCATTCTGGCCCATCTATATGTTATATTGAACACCAATACTGTTACATTAAATCTATTACAAAAGCCATTATAGACACACAGTCACACACAAATGAGACAAATTAATTATAACTCTTTCTTAATGTAAAACTTCAAACTTTCAATCTGGTCCACATATAACATCAATAGCCACAATATATACACACATACATATAAGCACAGTCCAACAGAGAAAGTCACTAACCACTAAATATGTTATTTGATTTTGGAGTCTTTGGTTTCTCAAGCGAAAACCAAGTGAGGGGCAGATTCTGATTCGCTTCAGCGGCGACGGACGATACCGGAATTTGGACCCGACCCACAAAATCACCAGACGAATGGAAGAAGCCAGAGTCGTCATTGTGTTGATACACAGAGAGTGTGAGTTCGTCGTCCATTTCATGGACTCTAAACACGAACTCTTCATTCCAAACTGGGTTTGTGGTGCTCCTCAAAACCCTAGTCTTGGACTTGAACTTCCCAACCTGAAGCTTCACATACGAGTCCTTCACCGCCAAATCTCTACCCTCCAACACATACACAAACAGCCTCATGGTCGATCTCTGTGTAAATGTAATGTCGAAACAGAAGAAAGTGATTTGAATAGCCTTGGGTGGTGGTGTGTTGATGTTGCGGTGGTGGTGGGCTTTGGTTTTGTATGGGGAAGAGAGAGAAAATTGTGGGTGAAGCCATGAAGAAACGTGGGTGTGAGAGGAAAGTGACACGAGAGAGGGAGGTAGGGGAATGGATTAGTGCGAGAAAGAAAATAGTAGTATATTTTAGAGAGAGAAAAGGAAGAAAGCCGGTTCGGTTTGGAGGAGAGTTTTGCGTTTCGGGAAAGGATTGATGAAGTACCAAACAATATATATGTATATATAAATACATTTATAAATGCATAGGTCAGCTATATTGTTAAGTTGGTAGTTATTGTTTTGATTCGTCGTTTCGTTGAATTTTTTTTTTTTTAAACTTTGTGTACCTATTATTATTATTATTATTATTATTTATTTTTTTTTTTGTTTTTTTCTCTCTCATAACAGTAAACCTCAAGCACAAAAGGAAAAATCCTCATTGAGTACAGAAAGAAGTCATGACGGCCAAACTTCTCAATGCAAGTCTCCCTCCCCTTGATGAAAAGCCCACTTATTCATTTTATGAACTTTGTTACGTAATTTAGGACATTGTAAGAGCTTAAATCCCAAATTATTAAGTAACAGACACTCAATATTTTGAATAATAGCCATACAAAAAGGGTTAGATGTTCGCAAATTTGCCGCGGATTGACAATCCACTTCAACATCAACATAAGCGTAACCCCGCTGACAAAGCAAATGCAATCCTTCTCTTAAGACCAGAGCTTCCGCAGCCTCCGCACTGAAAACCGTATCAAATAACACGGATGCCACCTTGATAGCCTCTCCTTTTGCATTTCTAAGCACCAAACCTCCCCTACACTTACCAGAAATGGCGTTGAAAGCTGCATCAGTATTAAGTTTAACTCTACCATTGGAAAGGGCAACCCAATTGTTCCCAAGAGATGGCCACTGTTGGGTTTGTAAGGAAGAGAGGGTCGATGGAGAGGATTTCACGAAATTCTGAAATGCATGAAAATAAAAAACTGCTTTTTCCATAATGAGAGATGCGACTAGAAGTACAAAATTTTTAGGATAAATTATATCCAAATTTGTTGAGTTTGGCAAATTATATTAGATTGTTCAATGTTTACATTTTAATTTTGGCACTGGGCTTCACTTTTTTTCATTAATCAAATTTTATAAAATGATAATTTTATCACTCTATTGTTTAAAATACAATACAATATAATTGTATCACTAATTTTTTTTACACTCAAAGTCATTTTCTGATTACTTACAAACAGAATCTAGTGAGATCAAAATAATAAACGTTGAACGGTCTACCTTGATATATCTTACTTAAACCTTATAAGAGATCAGTATACAAAATTTACCATAAGAAATAAGTCAAATATTACAAATTGTGTACTTCAAATTTGAAAGGAGAAATTTCTCTTGATTGCATTAATGCTTCATATGGTTAGAGGGATGAAAAAGTTAATAGAAAAGATAGGGGATGGAAGAGGAATCTCTAGGGAGGGGAAGGTGGTCTCTCTTTTTTTTGTTTGATTAAATGAAATGGATAGTAGAAAAAATAGTTGGAGTAATATTTTTTTATATTTGGTTGGAATGAAGTGGAAGAGAATTGTTACATATTTTTTACCAATATATATTTGAATTTTTTTTAAATATTAAAATTATATAAGTGTAAATAGTTATTCAGTTTCTATCTCCTCCTTCCTTCAAAAAGTTTCATCCCTCTTTTGCTTTCTCTGTATTTCCTTCCCTTTAACCAAATACAGAAAGCTTTATCAATCCATCCTCTCATTTATCCCTCTTCAACCATTTCCTTCAACTAAATAAAAAATAAGTCTTTTACGACTCTTCTCATGTTGTTCTCTCATTTACATTTTCATAATAATCTGCTGAGCTCAGTCACCCGAATTACATGTATTTGTCTAGATCTGCTTTCACACCAACCCATTTTTTAAAGATTTATGAGATCGGAATCAAAATCAAGGGATTGGACTTTGCTTTGCCAAATGGGGGAATCAGTACTCTTGTCACACACTCACTTTAGCAATCTTCACAGAAAAACGTTCAAAGTGGATGTGACAAATAATAAAAATTGGACGTGCTTAAAACAAAGTTATTTATTTTATTTTATTTGACAAGCTTAAACAAAGTGACGGATTATAATACTTGGTACACTTTCTTTAGGTTACATGCCTACTTTATCCAACCCTTTTTTTTTTTTTTTAAGCCTTCCTACTTTATCCAACCTAATTTGCAAAAAAAAAAAGAAAATAATAATAAATAACCTAATTTTTCAATTTTTTGGCAAATATATCTTACGGGAAAAAACCTCCTAAATTATCGCATTTTTTAAAAAAGAGACCATCGTATTATCCTGTGGTATCAAATTACTAATTTGGTCATTAGTAATATGTCAATTGTTAAAATATTTTTTCAATTGATTAAATATTTATACTTATAGTTAGCCAATACGAGAGTAAGAGTGTGAAAGTAACAAAAATTCAAGTTAAGTGGAAGAGAACTATAGCAAGAACACGGCACTCGTTTAAAAGAATGATGTGACTTAGGGTTTAATGTCTAAATAACTAGCTCAGTCACAAATTATGCTCAGGAGGCATGATGTAATGAAAAGAATTGAGGTAGGGTAATTTTAAAATTTTAAAGAATTATATATACAAAAATGAATTTTTTTAAAAGTTGGGGGAGGCAATTTTAAAATTTTGAAAAATTATTCACATACAAAAATGTACTGTAATTTTAAAAGGGGGCACAGGCCGTGAGTGAACCGATTTATAGGTCTACTCACCGGCGAGAAAGGCGACGTGTTTGGTTCCTGAGAAAATGTTACAGTACCCAGCATTCATGACGCAGTACCCGTGGTCGACGAGGACGATTCCGACGCCGTATCTTCTGCCATCTCAATGGCCCCAGCCCCAAAGCGATGAGCTCCTCCTAGCCATGGAGGAGTCCGATTTTGAAGAAAAGGTCACAATTTTATTATATATTTACACACATATACATATATTCTTGAAATATTTAGAACCCTCTATATGAGTGCTTTTGATTATCTATCCCAATGCGTGGATTACCTTCGTTTCTTACTTGCCCTAATTTAATCTTTTATCTTCTTGGGATTTTGATTGTTCAAATTTGTCCATATATTTGCAATATATCTAATGCAAACTCGCATGCTGACTCTTGAATGTGCAATAGAGGTTCTAATTTCTTTAGGATTGCATTTTGTCACCGAGTTGTATTAGGGTTATTAGATGAGGATTATTAGAGATTTGCTTAGTGTAGTGAGTTTGTTTTCTGTCATTGGTTTAGATAAATCTAATACTGGAATTGATTTTCTTTATTACACACTTTTTAGGGTGAAAACTCATTATGGCTTTCTTGCAAGTTTATCTAGTGATTTGAGGCATGTTGAATTAGTCCCACATCAGTGATGTCGTTCGGGGATTATTGGGTGGTCGAACGAGTCCCACATAGGTTAGTGAAGAAAGAAATCTGGGACTTAAATGGGGGCAAGAGTCACTCCATTTAACGGGTTAACCTTTTGGGTTGGATACCCCCAACCCAACAGAGAAGGGGAGATAAGCATAGTGGTTAGGATTTTGAATGAGCATGTGAAACATTCTCTGTGGGAATTCGGTTGTTCCTGTTCTAATAGAGAGTTAGAGACATTTCATGTTAATTCTATTTTGTTCAAGATGAGTTCTTCTTTTCCTTCTGCTCATAGATATTCTTGAGTATTCATTTGATTCAAACTTGCAATACATGTTAATTTCAACAAAACGATAGTAAAGGCGGTTCAGTCGTAGGTTTGAACTAGTTGAATACTTACTGCACATGGGCTGCAATATTAGATCAGTTTATTTTAAACGATAGGAGATAGCGATGGAAATGGGACGGTTGGTCCTTACCCTACCTGGCTTCGAATAGGAGAATTAATTCTGTTTGAGACGGAAATCCCATCCCTGCATATAATATGGGTCAGAGAACCCTTTTCCACTGTCTGCTCTGATTAACAAAATGAGACAAAGAAACCCCATTTTTGTTTTTGATTGCCTATCTTCATCATCATCATGGATTTTCTTTTTCCACTCTTTTCTATGATATGCCGTATCCTCTGCTAGATTTAATTTTTTAAAGTCATTTCTTATCCGTTCATTCCGTGTTACTTTTGGTCTACCTCTTTGTCTCTTACCCTCTTTGCAAATCAATCTTCCTCTCCTCACGGGTGCATCTCTAGATTGGTATTGACTATGCCCATACTACCTAATGAGAAAGAAGATTGTGGACGTGAAGAATAATAAATTATAGACATAAGGCCTAAAACTTCCAACAAGTTAATATGAAGATCCACCAATTTCTGTAACTCTTGGCTGCATATTGAAGCATAGGAAGAGATCCAACACTCTTTGTTCACCTCTTTGGACATATTCGAAGCAATAAGGCTCTCCTTCAAGGTGCGTTGAAAGGCAAAGAGGGAAGGTCCCGTCGCCGTCCCGGTTTTTCTACCAGAGGCTCTGGGGAAGTTGGAATAGGAGAGCACTCATATTGGGGTGTGGAGTCGTACAAGTAACTTGGTAAGGGTTTGAGGAAATGGGAGGGGAGTGCACTGTTGAGGTTGTGAGGGAGGGGAAAAAGGCAGAGGGGAGTTAGACGATGTATATTTGATAATGCAATTAAGGATATATATATATAAGGGTAGATATGTAAAATATATACATAATAAATAATTCAAGGCTGGGCAAGAAAGAGAAAAACCAATCTCGCCTCAAATGTTTATCGGTTTTGAAATTCTTTTACCATACCCGTCTAAAACTTTATAAACGAAACCACATACCCTTTCCAATGAGGTCAGGATGAGATGGGTATTTGACGGGGCGGGTATAATTGAATCCATAGTTATTAAAGGCCCAAGGCGCTAGAGGTCTTTTGGAGCCTAGGCGCGAGGCGCGCGCCTAAGTGAAGTGAGGCGCACAATTGAAAATTTAAACTACTATAATAACATTCATATCTCATAAGTCATACTAAAAATTAATATCAAATATAAAAAAGTAAATCCATCAACTGTACAAGCATCCAACAACCATAAAATAGAGCACAAATTTGTTTTCTTGAAAGGCAAAGCAAAATGTGTTTTTTGAATGGCAAAACAAAGCACAAAAAGACATAAATATGTTAACAAAAAAAAAAAAAAATTCTTAACAAGAAAAAAAGAAAAGAAAAAACGGAGCAAAAAAAAAGAAGACAGAGAGATGAGGGAACTGGACGAAGAGAGAGATGTAAACAAAGATAAGAAGAGAGGAGAGATCTAGAGGAGGAGAAGAGAAAAAAGAAAAGAAAAGAAAAGAAAGAACTGACGTGGTTTTGTCGTTCATCTCTGCAACTAGGGCTTCGTCTTCGTCTCATAATCTCATTCTATCGTTGTTCGGTTAACGCTTTGACTCTTGGGCTTTCTTATATTTTTATTCTTTTGAACAAAAGTTCCTTATATCGTATGATTGAGCTCTCTTTTTTGTTTGTTAAGTTGCCAAAAGTACCTTTTTTGGCTTAAGAAATATAACAATCGTATTTTTTTAAACAAATATCAGTGAGGCGCGCCTAGTCGTACCTCACAAACAGGACGAGGCACAACCGAGGCGCGCGCCTAGTAAACATCGGTGAGCCTGGAATGACAACAGGCGCTAAACCTGAGCCTCGAGCCTAGGCGCGCCTTTAACAACACTGATTGAATCCCTATAGGAATGAACAAATGCAGGTTGGAGAAGTGACTTAATTAGAGGCCTCGCTTGGGTTATTTGTAATGAATTGAGTCATGTTGTGTTGGTAGTTTTTGTATACAAAATGTGATTGGAATGTTTCAGTCGTAATTGGGTCACTCGATGGTTCCTTGATCAATGTAATTTGCTGGTTAATGTGTTGAAGAACACTTGAGAAAGTTTGATGAAGATCACGTGAAGATTGCTTGGTGATTGTGAGGTTAACATATTCGATAGTTTTGATCTACTTATCACACACATTAGATTAGGTAAGACACACTTGAGTGGACCAGTCCATAAGTTTTGATTAGATAAGTTTAGAAGAACCATAGAGATGATATATTTGGATGGATGCTAAAATAGGTTTTGAATGGACCGAAGCACCTCAGAACTCAGAAAATTTGAAAGGCAAGCAGATCTAAACCTCATCAGGGGCTGAGGAGGATCCAATCCCTCCAGAGGATAGATTGCCAAGGTCAAGGATCAATCTCATATAAAGGGTGAGTGATCTTTCAACTAATCTTTACAAATTTTGGAGGTCAAGAAAGTTTCTAAAAAGTGTTTTGTATCTACCATATAGTTTGGGACTTTTTAACTCTATACAAAAGCTTTTTGCATTTTCATAACATGGATGACAAAAAAAGAGAGAAAAACACATTGAAAGAACTCATTGGAAGCGTATCAAATCATCTTTGAATACACAAGATTTTATTGTTTGGATCACATGTACACTCCTCAGATTGAGTATATAGCATGTGTGTTTCATGATCAATTGGTTTTGGAGCTTGATTGGAGATATTTGGAAAGAATGATTGACAAATGCAGACAACTCGAGCATTTACCAGTGCATCAAGCAATCAACCCTTCTTAATTAAGTTTGCTAGAACTGCCAATTTTTTCATTGGCAGATTCCTTATTTTGGTCACTGGGCTTTCTTATTTTGTTTTATTATATTTTATTGACTAATTAACAATGACATTGAGATGAATCAATTTTGCAGTGTACTGAAATCAGAAAGACAAACAGCAACCTCGTAGTGATTGGGAAAACCACCGTCGATAACGATAAAGAAGACTTTGACAATGATGCGGATGATGATGATGCTGACAATGCAGATGAGTCCGAAGGTGACGAGTTTGAGCAGGAAACTGGTTGATTGTGCTGAGTACTGCAGCTACTAATTCTTATTTCACTTTTATGAAATTCTTAAGGTAATTGGCATGGAGGCATGGACTCGTAGCTCTTTTCATTAGTAGCTTCCATTGTGTAATTTTTACATCTGAACAAGATGTTTGACATTGACATGAAACTTGTGATAATCAAGTGGTTTGCTCACACTATCGAAGATGCTTCTCCTAATGAGGTGCACGACTATGAAAATTTGACCAACCTGGGCCTATTGAGAATCAACATCACAGAGTTCATTTTAATGTCTTGCCAAGGAACTCTCAAAATGCTTTCAGGAGACTTGAACTCTCTTGGACCCTCTTTGGTAGCCCTAGGGCAAGCCTCTTGGCTTTGGGTCTATTCCTCTGCTGCCAACAATGAATCTGAGAGAAGGTTATGGACTGTTCTGAATTCCTGTTCTTCTCGAGTGGGTCATTCTTGGCTTGCTCTTGGAGATCAGAATGTTTAAAAGTCCCCAGTCGACTCCTTGATGAGTTTAATGATGCAGTTATCATGACTGAACTTCGTGATTTGCCTATGGTGAATGTGAAGTGGACTTGGACCATCAGACAAAATAAAGTCGAAGAATCTATGCAAAGTTAGATAGAGGTATGGTTAATAGTGCTTGGCTCAGGGATTTTCTTGTCTCTCACTGCACACCCCGGAATGCATCTTTCTTATAGAAAGAAAAGCGTTTTCGCATCTTCTTAACCCTAATGGTTGGGAGGAAAGATTCCATTCTTCTTCTGGAAACAAGCGTATGTTTGGTCATAGTGATCAAATTATTGCTGCTAGGGGTCATCTGGTGCAGGTCCAAGAAGCTTTACTTCATCAGCCAAACATGGAGGACTATGCTTAGTAGTATCTAGGGTAAAGATGGTTCCCTATGGATGCATTAACAATTATGTAATTGATTAAGATTAGTGCAGTCCAGTCCAAGTGCTATTTTAACACGTTAGAATTTGATTAAGGTTATAAATTAATATGGATTCAATTTTTTCGCTGGGGGTTTTAATATTTCAGTTAGGAAAGTCCAACTTGGTAATAGAATTGTGTTATTTTACAATTTTGCTCATTAAATGTTTACTATCATTTCAAGCATTAGAAGAGCAAAATCGACCTTTTATCCATTATTAAAACCTTAACAATTGATGAATAGAACTATTTGGTCATACAAAGACAAAAAAAAAAAAAAAAAAAAAAAAAAAGACAAAGGCTGAACAGGCCATTTTTAAAGGATTGAGATTTGAGAGTAATTTTTCTCTGATTGAATTCTGAATTTGAAGCAAAATTGATGGGGAGTTTTCCTTTGAAAATATGAAAATTTCTTCCCGTCCAAACATGGTGAGCGGTTAGGCCCATGAGATATAGGTCATTTGATGAAGAATATAAAATGGTAAACTGTAAAAAATATAAAATCCACATAAAATCTGAATATAGAATATAAAGTAATGCTAGCTTATATCTCTTGTCATGAGATGACTCTCATAATATCATTTCGCATTTTATTTAATGGAGTCAAAAGAAAGAAAAGAGGGTGAGAAAATCCTTTTCATGTTATTATTATTATTATTATTATTATTATTTTCTGTTCCTTCCTCTCTCTCACTTTTGGAAACTGAGAATTAGTCTGGTGCAATGAAGAAGGGAGAAAAGAAAAGGTGATAGAGAGTGATTAAAAAAAAATGTGTTTGACATAAATGGTTGGAATAAAAAGAAAGAAAATGAATAATTTTAAAAGAATATTACAAGACTTAAATAGTAATTTTTTTTCCTTTAAAAAATGAGAGGAAATGAAAGAAGAGTGAAATAAAAAGTTGATATATTATTTACGATCCTTGTTTTTTTCTTTCTCACCTTACCAACCACAAGTAACTCAATATTAAGGTGTCATTCATCTTTTGGTTGTTTCACTTCTATTTTTTTTATTTTTTTGACCCGATAAAAATTAATTAGAGAATTAAAAGTTAGTAAGAATTTGGAAATTTAAACCTATAAATATAAAGAGAACACTTGATTAGACTTAGCCATTCACGACTTATACTGTCACATCATCTCTAATTGATGGATGTCATATTCAGAATCAGTTTAGGGCCTTTCACAAAACCTCTCGAACTTTCGCCAGTTGTCCAAAGCAAAAGAATTTACTTGAGAATAATAAATATTCTCAATGGTCAGATTCCCCCTTTATTAACCTGCCAATCACCAAATAAATGTGTTAAATACTATAATTAAAAATAATTACAGATCAATAAAAACTTACACGTGTTTGGCACACCAAATGTTTGAAAATTGAAACTCTCATCGACAAATAAAGATAAACGCCCGCAAACGGAGTGATAATCGTCTCATTGCCACAAATCAAACTCGAAAAAAGAGAATATAAAAATTTGTTCCCAAAAGAAAAAGATTTTTTTTTTCAATTTGAATAAATTTTATAGATTTTCTATTGTATATAGTTTGTATTTGCATTGAGTGCCCATTTTTCAAAAATTAGGGTTTTAATATCCTTCTAAGGAAAAAGGTAATTCCTAGGATTTTCACGTTCACAGGAAGGACAACGCCGGACTTTCCCGGCGTCTTTCCGGAAACCGGAGGGAAATGCAACGGCCGGCGAGAAACTCCGGCCACCGCTTCGATAAGCCGACGCATGTGTAGGTACAAGATATGATCCAGCGACCGCGTACGGTGGCGATCTGGAAGCGGAGGGTTCGAAACTGGATACCGTGGACGGAGGAGGAGAGATTGTTTTGAGAGCATTGATCGGGAAGAGTATGGCTCTGATCTTCAAATCCTGATGTGTGAAAGACGAAAATTGATCGTATTCTTCAATCAAACTAGCGAGGTCCTCGTCGCAGGTGATCGAAACCAACACGTCTAGGTCTTCCTCCGGCAACTTACACTTCAAACTCACCGACGATCCACACAACTCTCCGAACTTCACCATCAGCTCTGTATCAATCCCAATTCACTTCAATTCCTCCAAAATTTCGAATTATATACATATATATACACACACACATAGATACATACACAAATATAACAAAAAAATGATGACGAATTGAACTGACCTGCGAATGTGATTGAACGATGAATGGCGAGGACTCTGGTGTGACCGCCGACGTAGCGAAGCTTGAGGTCTGTTTGGCGAGGGAGGAGTTTGCCGCCGTAACTGTAGAGAAATTTGATTTTGGTAGTGGTGTTGTTTGAATTCAAGGTTCCAGTCATGCTCTACTAAGAAGGAGAAAGAGTAGAGACAGAAGATGGTCGGAGTCGAGTGGCCCCTTTAAGACTAGGGGTTATGTAAAGTCGGGCGTCTATATATATAGAGGGATAATTTGAGAGAGAGAGGGAGGTTTGGGTAGCGTAATTGAGATAGGAGTTCAGAGTTGTACACGCAAAAGGTTTGTAAATTGTACCTCTAGGTTGGAACTGCAGTGAAATTTCCTTTTTATTCGGATATTCTCTTTAATTTTCTTCCATAGGAAGGCTTGTCTATTCACCGTTGAGTAGGTAGGGCATTTGGTCCAATCACAAATAAACAAGACTTGTCTATTCATTGCCAGGTAGGTAAGTCATCTCTACGCTGTGGTCCAATCACAAATACACAAATAATTTCTAATTACAAAATTAACAAAGTAATAAATACCAATGGCCAGTGACCTAAAGATAGGGATGACAATGGGCAGGGGATCTCATTCCTCATCCCCATCCCCAGTCAAATTTTTTACCCCCATCCCCGCCCCGCCCTGCCACGCCACACCACATTAGCCCACATTCCCGCCCCGCATAACATTTTTTAAATTCCAACTCCCCTTCAACAAAATCAACACAGCCATAATTTTTTTCAACTTAATAATTTAATAAAGTTTCAATACAATTATAACAATTTAAAATATGATCAGATATTTGATGTACAACGACTATGTTTTTTCTCTATGCTGCGAGGGAATAGATATAGGGTTTCACTTTCAGAAGTGAATATATTATATATATATATATATAGTTATGTAATTTAATAATATTTTATAACATGTAGGGGCAATTTTGTAAAAATGTACTATAAACGAGGCGGGGCAGGATTACCCTCCCTCCGCCCTCGCCCCCACCCCATCCCCTATCGGAGTTTCAAATTCAATCCCCATCCTTTCCCCCATTTACATAAATGAGTCCCCAAACCCGCCATAAACAGGGCGGGAACTCGCCGAGTATGGGGATTTTGCCATCCCTACCTAGAGAGAGGTTAAGGGTTCAAGTCTCAATAGAGGCATATGTGTGTGAGTATCAATTATAAAATGAAAAAAAAAAATTAAAAAAGTGTGTGATAAATAAGGAGAAATTTTTTTTGGAATAAATTCAGTTTCAGATTTTGTAGTTGCAAATTATTTGTGCCTTTGTGATTGGATCACCGGTGAATAAGCAAGTCTTGTCCTTATAAAAGAAGTAAAGCAGCTTAGGCCTTGTTTGGATTGGCTTTTGAACCGCGAGTTTTTGGCTTTTTAAGTTTGAAAGAGCGTTGGGTGAGTACATGTTTGGTTTGGCAAGGGCCGGAGAGCTTCCGAGTCCAAGAAAAGCATAGTGGCGGTGACTAGAGAGCATCCAAGTACAAGAAAGAGAAATTATTTATATAGTCCCGGGACCAACTATATAGCGACACATAAGCAAATGTGTTAGCTTTATGTCAATGCCAATCAATTTTTTGCTTATGCGTCGTTTCATGATTGGCCAAAACAATAACATAAAGCCGACACATTTGTGCTTTAGGATTGGTCCGAAACCACTTAATAATTTCATCACAATTAAAGTATACATTTGTAACAATTCTATGTGGCATCATAAATACTAATTATTTATGAAAACAAATTTCTTAAGCACAATGTACTTGTGACACTATTTTACCTTCACAAATATCCTTTCATTTTTAACTTTTTTTATCCAATTTTGGTCTTTATTAATGCACAACATACTAACATAATATTTATTCATATTAAACAATCAAATAATAGGTAGGAAGCATTCCTCCTTAAAAGTGCAACAACTTTTCTCTGGGCGACGTGAGTCGTCACAATCACCCCCTCTAGAGACCAATTTTCTCATTAGCCTGACCCTCTTAGGCTTATACATGTTCCCTTCATTTTCGGCAAGGATGGACTTTGATACCATCTGTCAGGATTCGTCCCACACTGTGTAGATATTTACATAGAGTAGGCCCTCACAGATACACATACTTGAATGTAGTACATAATACCAAACGTCATTTATATAATCATACATACAAGCATGCATAACTGTAAAGATGCCAAAAGGCCATAATGCTAAGCTAATCAACAAGAAAACTGAACAAACTAAGACAAAAATATGTACAAATGTGACAAAAGCCATATCTATTCATATACACAAACATGCATAGCTGTAAAGATGCCAAAAGCCCATACTACTAAGATAATCAACAAGAAAACTAAAGAAACCAAGACAGAAAAATATGTACAAAAGTAAAACAACATAAAATCGGATACTGCATTTGCTTGCATGAATGTAGCAATATTCATAGAGATGATACAAATAGCATAGTAATTGTTGAACCTGGTGAATGCAATGTCCAAGCTAAAAGAGTATAAAAAGTTGCTGTATATGCAATGTAGGTTGCTAGAAGCAACAGTCAGCTAGTTTTTCTTCTTGCTTTCTCAAGAACCAGAGTATAACACATCTAGGAAACAGATGATGGAGCTCTAGCAATCCGCGCAGCACGTGGATCCAACCGAAGAGAGTAAAGAAGGGAATTATTCAAAAATTTCCTCGAAATGAATAACCATACATGAAAAAATGTGTAAAGAAAATAAACCGCGTCACTATTGCAAAAACAAACAGGTTTCTAACCACATTCATAGTTAACCATTAATTAAATTAAGGTTAATCTCAATCTACCTGTATTACAAACAACTCAATGACTCAGCAGGCTTTGGTGTGCAGTAGCCCTTTTCAGTAGAAAGGAACTGTTAATGCAGATTCAGATCTATGCTACTGTTTGAATCACATGCTAGGGTTTCTTTAATTCCATGACAGTCTTATCGATAGATATGGATATATTTATTATACAGTGGGAGATAAGTGCAACAGGTAGTCTTTGCTCAAGATCTTTGGCAAAAGCTAGGTTTACCAAGCATATTAATAGGCCAATCTATATTTGCGGTTGTGCAAAATTTACTACATGAATAAACCTGCTAAATTTGTTGCTGTTATCATTATGATTGTGCAAAATATGGCAACAATTATTATATTTTCTGTTACAGATTTCTGTTAAATATGTAAAACTGAGTTTCTGAAGAATATTCCTAAAGAGCTCAGAGCTACCTAACCAGTGTTAATCATCCAAACTGGAAGAGTACAAATACCACTAATTAGGTTAAATATATAATCAAAACCATCCATTACACAAGATAAGTTAAATATATATTCAAAAACCATCCATTACACAAGATTCGCATCAAGGTCCCCATAAAATTACTAACTCAACAAACAAGAACTGCTGCCAAAAGAAGCCTTACCTGAAACTTACTGCATACTATTGGTGTCTGGGGATGTTGGGAAATTCTGCCTTTTTCCACACGTGCGCAAGAAGCGTCCACTGGTGCATGTGAACATGTGGAGGGTACCAAAGGGCATCTAGCCAAATGGTATAACCTCTCCATTCTCAAAGAGGGGAGGGATTCAAGACCGGGTGTGGGCAAAATAGTGCGTGTGAGTGAGCATGTGAGTATGTTTTTTGCCAATATTAATATATATATATATAAAATAATAAAACAAACAAACATGTGGAGGGTTGGACATTTGGTTGTAAACTCCATAATTTTGTCAAAGACTCAAACTCTCCTGTCTGTTTTTGGAATGAAGCTTTATAATTCATTTACAAGATCATGAGAAACAGCTAATTATGGAGATCAGATTAATTTGAACCTCCACACCCATCATTGCATGCCTTTGATCAATTGAAAAATGCTTGTATGCCGAGTTGGGGAAGTCAACTAGACACAAAGCCTGGTGGCCCCACAAAGATTTGTGCTCGAGCCAGCGGCCTACAAATCATGATCCCTTTCAACTATTTTGTAAATATTTTTCTGTACCACCATCATGACCAGCACACAGAGTTGGGGAAGTCAACCCACTGCCTGAGTCGGCATGCGATGACTAGGCCTACAAAGCATGATCCCTTTCAATTATTTTGTAACTTACTTTTTGTACCACCATCATGAGCAGTATGCATGCAGCTACCTTAATACCATCATTAAACACCACCATCATTAGTTTTCTTAGTTTGAAATGTCAATTCCGTAATCCCTTTGTTAATTAAATAATTATCAAATTATGATGCTAGTAGCTATATGTTACATGGACTCAAGTACGAGTATGTTCCATACATCGGACGTGTCAAATGATCTCCAAACAGATGGATACAAAGACACTGCTAAATATTCATTTTATTAACTCATTTTAAAGTAATAATAAACAAAATTCAATGATTGGATATGTTTTTTTAAAGTACATGTCCAACCAAAAGTATCAGACACATATCCCAATACCCATGTCTGAGCAATATGTGTCCGACACAGGTACTTCACTATTTTTGAAGAGTCCATGCAGCATAGGTTAGAAGTTATGTAACCAGCAATCAATTTCCAAAATCAGTTGGATACCTTGGAAAGTTAATGTAAATCCATTGGATACAATATAAATTTAAAGATACTGAAAAAGCTAATCTCTTAAACACTATGTGGCATGTTCATGCTGAAATTGAAGGACAGGGATAGTTTTCTTGGAAGCCTAGAGACCAACTATATAAGCAAACGAGTTGGCTTGACAAACCTCTAGATGATGATCTGGGGAGGAAGTATGCTTACATTTGTACAGAATTTTGCTACACATCTCCGATACTTGAATTGATGATGGCACTAGAGTGAGAAAGTTAAGGAGTGGAAACTGAAGCATGGCTTCTCTTTCTGAGCACATATCTTGAAATCTTGAGAACTCAGGCGGCACAATGAAGCTACCGACTCTTTCATTGTTTCAGGTCCACACACCAAGACGCCTATATCGGATCTACCAGTTTCGTTTGGGAACTTGTAAAATATATCTGTCGAATTCACCACATGTTAGAAGATTCATTTTCTTGAATGTTGAAAAAGAGTACATGGTAAAAGGAATATACAATGGTACCTTGCAAGTTAGGCCTTCCTCCGAAATGGACTTCGTGCTCATCAAGAGCTCTACTCGTTTCCATTGAACTTGGTTTCACCGTTCCTTTGCCTTGTTTTTCGGAGATGGGTGGAATATTTTTCCTCACCTTTGTCCATCTCAAAAAAATAGCCAAAAAGGCGCCACATATGATTGCCATAGCAAAAGACCAGCCAAGAAGGAGATCAATTTCCGAAGATGAATACTTCTCTTTAGAGGCAGCCTTACCAAGAGGCACAAAGGCATGGTTGAAACAACCAAGAAAAATCAGGAACATAATGGATGAAAATCCAGTAATGGCAGCCATCAAAAGCAAACTCTCGAGTCCATGTGTTGCATAATTCGAGTATTTCGTGTCAAAGCTTACTGTTTCCACTTGAGAAAACTCATTCAGTAGTTCCCTTACTGTTGCACCAGAACGCGCTTCTTGGGTCACATATATTTTTATTTTCAAGTGCAATTGTTCAGCAGTCTGGTTCATGAGTAGTGGCAAAATTGGTTTTAATAGACATATATCTTGGGAGGACTTCACAACATATATAAGTTGTACTTTTGCAGCGATGCTCTTTCTGCCACTGCTTTGAGCAGAGTCAATTTCGTTCAAAATGCTCAAAAATGGTGTTATCCCAATCCCTCCCGCAATCATAAGTAGACTGTCACATCTGCAAGAAGAAGAATCATGTAAATTATCCAAAATTTTGAACATGGAATCTATCCAATGCAAACTTCAGTAGTATCTAGAATCAACAACATTTGAGCAAATTTTAACAAAAATTTTTATGTCATAGGACTATTTTGTGCACCTTAGGAAGTCCACCGAGGCAGGTCCATAGGGGCCTTCAATTGCTATTGGGATACACTTCATCTGGCCTGCATCAGAGTCTAGCTCAGTTTGAATTATGTCGTAGAGAGCATTTGTCCACCATCCTTCACACTTGATAAGAACCGACATGGTTTGGTCATCAACGCTAGAGCTAGAAGCTATACTGAAGGGATGCCACTGAAACTTTGATATACTCGGTATCTTCACGAATATCACACTTGTTGGGGTATACTTCAATCCTGAAAGCAATACAAAAAAATAAATTTATGAATCTCTTTTCTCAACCTTGTTATGTAATTTTGTGAAATCTGAAAAGGAGTTGATGATATACTTGGGTCTTTGGGAACAGTGAGTTCTATAACTTTACAGGGGAAGACTCGTGCAGAGAGTATGCAAGTTTCTGGTCTTGATTGTACGATCCTGAGTAGCTTATCAAGGCCAAAGAGAAAAATTCCAGGGAAAACCATGTAGAAGTGGCGATCTCCGGCATGAAACAAGAATAATACTAAGAAGACAATGTACAGATGATGAGTGTAGTAAAATATTTCAAACTTTTTCCGTCTTATCTGTGGAAGTGATGTGATCCAAATTACGAGCCCCGTGACAAGACTCAACTCACCGGCAAGGTATATCCTGCCTGTTTTTTGCCATTTCCAGATCTATTGCCAAGTAAAAAAGGAGTTAATCCAAATCCTTTATAGTACTTAAGCTTTTAGAATAGATGGTTTCAATGAATATTCAATCATAGGAATGGACTCGGAAATCATAATTACCTCATCCTGAATATGGTTTTTGATGCCCCATATGAACAAGGTGCCAACACCATGCAAAGTGGCAAAAAGTATCATTGCAGTGCCGAGCCAGACATGGTATCTTACTGAAGCTTCAAACTGAATGCCAATTATCCGAAATATAGACATCCCTCTTAAGATAGGGAGAAGAAGCAGAGCTAGGCAGGCTTCTGATGTAGAACCAAGCCGAACCGCCACTTTCATAAATTTGTACTGCCACCTGAAATAGAAGAAGAATCATCATTAATGTTGATTTTTTTATTATTATTTTTTATTATTCCAAATGTTCAACATATCCTATACAGAGTGATAATAGTAACTCTATACTCACATGTTCAATTTCAATGGATTGGCTTTTACCACCTTCTTATAATCATTAGAGACACGGGCATAGAAAGCCCACGCTAGAAAGAGGATGAAGAGGGACACAGCAAGAATCTCATTCCAGGACAAGATACCGATATAACTATTAACAATCACTGGCTTGGATAGAGATGTGGTTGATCTTCGCCCTTGTCTGTCACCCAAGATCAAAAAGAGTGACATAGAAAATTAATCCATATAGAATGAGCTTATAACATGAAAATATATCCTTACCTGCTTCTTGGTTCCCTAGGTTTCAGTTCCATGTAAACGAATCCAACCATAGCCAGCGCGATAACAGGAAACGTATAGACTGCAAAATCAAGCCCTGCAGAGTACTCATTATGAGTCCAGTGTTCAAAACAACATCAAGTTTTTGTGATTATGTAAAAAAATTCTGTTCTAGGTGAGGATGAGTTTTCAAATGACTAATAACTAACTAATAAAGCCATGTCATGGAACAAGCAGTAACACTACAATATTTCAAGAGAGAGGGGGTTTTCAATTTCAGCAGCATGTGTAGATAAGTTTGTACCATTGTAGCCGAACACTGTAGTCGTTGCACTTCCTTCAGCTCCCTTCCATTTTCTTGTCCATAGTTGCGTAGGCTTAAGAATCCAAACAGAAACCCAACCAGCACAAATCAAGATCATTAGTACTCTGAGAGCAACGAGAGGAACTGTATTTGCCATATCGATCTTCTCAACTTGATGCAGGAGATGGCTCTTAATTTGAATTCATTTGGTATGAAAATGCTCTCTTAATATAGAGATTGGTAATAGAGAGAGAGAGAGCCACTTGGGATAACAGATTTTCTGTAGCCCCACCACATTTCAGGAATACCAATGACCTCTTTAGCTCTTTTTGTTTCTCAGTGAGAAGAAAAAAGGGTTCTTTTCTGCAGTCTGGCCACTGCAATATCTATGGAATTTGGGCATTCTCCAGTTTCATCATTGTCGTCCTAACATCATGTTGAAAATCTTGCTATGATGGGCCTCATGGTAATGGGAAATGACGATAGAAACCACCTTACATTATACACATGACATATAGGTGATGCTACCTATGAGTTTGTTTTTTTTGTTTGAAGCTGTCATTTTTATTCTTACAAAGGTGATAATTGGTCCACATTTAAATGGGGAATTCATTGTCCAATCCAAACCACCTTTTCTTTTTACATAATACTTTATATTTTCTGCTTTATTTATGGTTAAAGAGAGTGGAATTTTGACTTTGCCATTAGGAATATATTCCCTTTGGACCTCATGATGTTACTGTGCCACACACACACACACAAAAATCACAAGGTGAAATGGACAGGATGTGAAAGCAAGGTTGAAATAGAAATACCACCAAGTGAGTGACGGTAAAATGTTCTGTACAAGACTCCACTTGATACTGTTGTTGCGTTTGGAAGTACCGAATCTGTGCTTTGGATTTGGGATTAAAATTGAATTCGGTACTCCCAAACATAACATGTATTTTATTGAATATGAATTTGGGATTAGAATTGAATTCGGTACTCTCAAACATAGCATGTATGTTATTGAGTATGCCAGGGAAAAAAGTGCAAGCAATTATAACTTCAGCACGGACAGTTTAAAAAGAACCTAAAAGTAAATCTCAAAAAAGCAGCAGTTGGTAATATGCCTTAGACCTGCTAAATGACAAAAAGGTACTATGAAAATCATAGGAAAGCATAATAGTATTTACAATCATGGGCTGAATTACACACACACACACACACACACACACATAATACAATATGTGGGGAAGCTTTATATGGGGCAAAACCAGTAACAGTACTATATGCTACTAATGTTGTTTACTTCTCAAAGCCGTATTAGTCCTTTTCCTTATCATTTCAAAATCCAAAAAGCACTAGATGACCCAAAGTCTCAAACCACCACACAAAAAAAGGGGACCATGAAGCACTAGATGACCAAAATTTGGTAAAAACACACAGTAGATGCTAAGGGATTCCAAAGATTTGTATGCAGTCATTGTCATTCACTTGGTAGTAATCTAATTTTCTAGCATGTAACAGACGGAATTGGGATCAATTGACTAGTTTCATCACTCCTCTACCATTTGCAGTTTTAATGGACTATACAAATCTTTATCCTTTGCCGACAAGAGCTGACATTTTGATCCAAATGCAATGGACTAAACAAAGTGTAAGCCCCAGAGAATATAAACATGTGGTGATTATACTATTTTGACGTTCAATCATACTTGATATGTTATTGTGCACTACAAAGTCATGCCAAATTTTAGAACTACTAGTAGTGCATGCTGACAAGGAGAGCACTATATATAATCATGGTGTTCAATCGAAACAACAGAATTAAATGAAGCACTAACACATATTACTATACCCACAATTAAGTGGAAAAAAGTCCACTAATACTGACTCTTCAAGGCATTTCAACACTCTCTTTAAGAATTTGTGGAGAAGAAAACGAGTTAATCCATCAACCTTCATCCTAATCGCTTTGTGTCTGAACTCTCAAGTCCTAGGTCAAGGTTTCGAGACTGGTAGAGAGAAAAGAAAATAAAAACTAGTAAATCCATCAACCATGGAAATTCAATGCATTGGTTCCGGGCTTTCAGCAACCAAACCTCTATTAAATAAGGGTTTGCTACTTTAATGGCTCATATCAAATAAATTCGGAATAATGGTTCATGCATTCGATAGATTTCCATTGATCTATATAAAAAATTACAACTAAAAAGAGCTTGGTGCTTTGAAAATCATGCACAAGAGAAGTTCATCTACTAATAAAAATTACTAGAGAGATTGTTTAGAAGTTCGATTGCGCACCTTCTTTCTGTTGCGACCAATTACTCCTAAAGTTTAAGTTGTTAGACAATGTGGCCAACACCCTCCCTGACGTGCAATCCGGTCTTACACGTGGCGATACAAACCATCCAAAGTAAGACTGCAACAAGTGCAAACTTGCACACCAAATTGGGGAACAAATGCCGAAATGGTGATTGGAATCCAAAATCTCCCATAACCAAAGTTCTGATGCCATATTAGACTAGTACTAATTGATCCAAAAGCTAGAGAATATGCCCAAGTCCCAACACTACATATCAAATTCCAACACTTTTGTCAATAGAAAACATGCAAAGAACAGTGACTTCTAATCATATGTTCCTACCATTCACATGTTCCTCTTAATCACCCATTTCTTGATGAAAAGATATAGAGCGAGTCCTAAATCCTAGAAACAAGCACTGCAAATTATTTCAGGATTCTCAAACCCCAAAATCCTTCTTTCGCTACTGAGATTAAGTACTAAAATTCAAGAAAATAGAGGCTGAATTATGGCTTTAGTAGCATAAAAAAGTTGTGCTCTAGATAATATCTAAACAAGGCCATTAGCATATATCTAGTATGATCTCTTCTCCCAGAGAAGTGGTTGAGTATTCAGAATTCCTCCACAGGAGGGGATTCAGTGCCTTGGTCCCGTGTTGCTAGTGTATCGCTAGTGCAACACATTACATCGCAATACAACAAATAAATACAAAAGTTGTTGCATAAAGAATGTAACCTAGTAGTTGTAATTGTTGTATAAATGATGTGAAATTGTTGCATAAACAATGTAATGGCACAAAAAGCGGCCCAACACAGAAGGCTGCGGAGAATGAAATGACACAAAAAAGGGTCCAGCTTTGAATATTCAAACCCTACTAGGGGCAAAATTGCACATTTTGCTTTACAAGTAAAGAAAGTATATGTACTTCCACTAAACCACGAATAGGACAACAGAGTCTGTACACTTTAAAGCAAATTGGAAAATTCTGACAAAATATTATCTCCAATTTGTTATCCATAAAGGGACCTGATTGTTACCAAACTTATAGTCTTCATTCATTAGAAATCTGTCAAATATATATATATATATATTATAGAAATGTAGCACTCAAAGTTTAATGAATCTAACAAAGTAACCACAATTGAAAACTCAAAATATTACTATATAAATATAAATAGAGAGGAAATTCACTTCAAATGATAATGATTCTAACAAATTAACCGCAATTGAAAACTCAAAATATCATATAAATATTAAAAAGAGAAGAATTTCTCTTCAAATGAAAACCTGAAGTCACAGAAGATCGAAGATTTCTGAGAAAAGTAAAATAACATTATTTATAAGCAGGGAAAATGAGGCTATTTGTATCTGATAATTTTAACGCAGAAGGGGACTCTGTAATCTATAGACAAACCTCATCCGAATCCGGTTCAACCCGTAATCCAATTCGGGGATTGGTTCCGTTCTGGATCAACCCGTGATCCAATTCGGGGATTGATTCGGTTTTAAAGTGGGTATCATTTTGGTTACAATTACTGTTAACTGTCCAATCCTAACAAACAATTTTGGTCCCCAACCAGGCTCGAACCATTTCCCTCTTTAAAAACGAGAAGGTTATTGGTATAAATATAACCAATAAATATTGTTTTATTGGTTATAGTTTTTCTTTTTCCTTCATTTTCATGGTAATTTTAAATTTTAACACCTTTTTTTAAGGTAAATTCCACGTACCTCGGTTTGTCAATATCCTACATAAGCCCCTCTAGATTTTACAATCCCGCTTACCACTTTTATTGATAGCTATCCAACTTGGTAACAGTAGTATTGTTTAATCGTTTTATCCTTGAAATATTTGTCGTCATTTCAGACATTATAACCAATAAATATTGTTTTATTGGTTATAGTTTTTCTTTTTCCTTCATTTCCATGGTAATTTTAAATTTTAACACCTTTTTTTAAGGTAAATTCCACGTACCTCGGTTTGTCAATATCCTACGTAAGCCCCTCTAGATTTTACAATCCCGCTTACCTCTTTTATTGATAGCTATCCAACTTGGTAACAATAGTATTGTTTAATCGTTTTATTCTTGAAATATTTGTCGTCATTTCAGACATTAGAAGGACAAAATTAACCTTCTATCAATTTTCTATTGTTAACATCCATAGATTTTGTTTGTCTCGGTTAGTTGCCCAAATGGCAAGAGAATCTGTTACAGAAACCACAACCTCAAGGAGGTTAGTGAAAATATAAAATTTATAGGGAGTTTATGCGGGATATTGACAAATCTGACATGAGGTAAGTAAAATTTACCCTTTTATTATTATGATTGTTTAAGTATAAATTTTTTACAAATTTTGTCTTAAATTTGTTCAATTTTGAATTATTTTTCTAAAAATATATGTAGACGGGTGCCCTGCAACAGTCTCCAACTTCGAAGCAAGACTGAGTGCCCTCCCAAACCCATCCAATTGACATCCTATATTGAAGATTCACATTGGATGAAGCCTTAATCTTATTCAGATTTGTCCACAGTTTAGAAATAAAATTAAACACTACATGGTTTATTGGACGTGTAATCTGGCAACTACTGGTCTTTGACTGTTCATGTTCCAATTTCCTCTGGCTATATTAGCAGGACTTACTATTCTATAGTGAAATCCATTAAATTATCATACTATCATTATGTTTTAAGAAACATGTTTTTTTTTTCTGGTGGTAGGTTGGATCTACACCCTTTAGCTCAAACTCAAAGAGACTCGAATAAAACACATTCTTGATGGTGACCACTTTTATTAGTGGTACAAAAACAAATTATCGTAAAGCAGTAGGGTTTACTAGATTCCTAGGCTTGGCAATTGCTAACCAAAATCCATCCACTTTCCAAACTAATATTCTTTAAAAAATCTCCTTTTCTTGTTCATATTCTTTTGTCTTATTTTAATTTTTTTTTTTTTTTCCTATTTCAGCATTTAAAAATTCATCTATATCTTTCACTATATATATATAGGCCAAAAGGTAAATTCCATCCTGTCCCTCTCAGTATTCAACACAGGAAGGCAACAAAATGTCTCTTGACATTGAACCCTCTCTTATTATTATTATTATTATTATTTTAATTACAGAATAAAAAAACCTTCCTTTTTTTTTTTTTTTTTGGGTACCTTTAATGAACCTTTTTCTATTTTCTGTTGTTTTCATTAATCAATATAAAACCATTCATGGTGTCCATTTGCAGTACAGTAAATACTTGTCCATATGATTAAGAAAATAAATTTCATCACTTTGGAAGGAGGAGAGAGAGGGCCCACAGAAAGTACTAGTTCTTAGTGCCAAAAAGTTTTGGCAGATGAAACATACACCTGTGGTTGTAAATGAAGCACGCAAACAGACCTTTCCTCTTTGTTTCTTTTTTTCCTCTCCACCCATTTCTTTCGTAAAAATTCATATGTTATATGTTAGGTTGAATGGAATTTTCAGAGTTTGGTGTATTGAAATTAAAATTAAAAAAAATAAATTCAAAATTTAAATTAATATTTCTTCAATTTTAATTCTAAAACATTAATTTCATATAATCATAACTTGTTCTCAAATCACGTTTACATAAACTAGAAAATGTCAAAAGTTAATTAAAACCATAGAAGTTTACTTGACTCAATTGAATACTGGTTAGTTTTCAACCCAAAAAGCATATGATTCAATGGTTCTTCAAAAATCCTATCACTTGGATTGCTTTCTAAAGTCCTCCATATTTTTTAATATGTTTTCTGAGTTCTCAAATGGTTCGGCATATCGTCCAATATGTATTTTTTTTAAGTCCGATACATGATTCGTATCGATCAGTTTACGCTGAATTTGTCCAAATTCATCACGCCACGATCGATAACACTACCATGACATAATTCAAAAAGAGAAAGTGAAAATCTTCTTTTTCTACTAAATGCAGGGTGGTCTTAGAATGTGGCATGTTGAAAGGCCAGCAAAATGTTGACAAAAGAGAGCCTCTCCTTTACATATTCTTTAATGGCATTGAGAGCAACGACTCATTCTCTATAAACTGCCAAACACATTGTCCCTACGCTCTTGATATCTACGTTCACAGCTCCCTCACAGCATTGTACTCTTCTAACAGCAGAAGATATCTGCAGACATGGAAGAAGGAAATATGCCGGCTCATGAAGAGCAGCCCTGGTGCCATGGTTGGCCAGAGATATCACCGGAGATTGTCGAGATTCGAGAGGACAGCAAGAGTGAGATCATGAGTAGCACCAGAGATGGAGGCGCAAACGACGTCTATGTCGCTGTTGGCAAAGATGACTTGGATGTGCTGAAATGGGCTCTTGATCATGTCGTCGTCTCTCCTGGAGCTCGCGTTTTCCTTGTCCATGTCTTCCCTCCCATTACCTACATCCCTACTCCTGGTAACTGCTGTATTTCCTCTGTTCCTTCTACGTGTGTATTACACAAAATCCACCAAAATGATGATTCATAAACTCTCAGACCATATGTCACACTAGTCACTAGCACCTTTTAGTATCTTATGTTTGTTTCTTTCTTTCTTTGTTTTATCAAAGACGTCTATGTTTGTTTATAAACTAAAATCAGCAGGAAATTTCTGCATCAAACAATCACCTCTCATCATGAAGAGTGATTGCTGAATTGGCTACAATAACATGAAAGATATCAATTTAGACCAATCCGGAATTTCCCATTTGGAAGGAAACAACATTTTACTTCCTAGTTAAGGATCAATTAGGGCCTACTTGGTTTGTAACTCTGAAAACAGTTCTCAAGAATTCAGATAACATAAAACTGTAGCAGACATTTTTATACTTGAGTTTTCAAAAAACAGAGTTTTTGTACAGTTTCTAGTTTTTTGAGAATAGAAAACTGTTTCTATAGTTACAAACCAAGCAGGCTTACTAGTTTCTGAGAAAGAAACATTTCAAAAATGTGGGGAGATTCACATTGTAAGTTCATAAGTGTATATGATCATATGAATCAAGCTTCATTTTTAACGCGTAACAAATTCTAATCGCTGCCAATTTGGCAGCTGAAGCTCTGGTTCTAGTTATGGTACCCTAATCAGAGGCTAACTCGGGCTAGTGCCATGCCCAACCACAACATACTAGACATTGCTAAGATTATGATATCGAAAAGGGCATTTCAGCATCTGAAATGGTAGCGATATGTGCACTTCACTCACTTTAGTCAGTTCTATATCCTCATTTTTGAAAAGGGTACATGAGGAACACAAGGACAAACAATTCGACGCCTATCTTGATTACCTGGATCCACCTCTATGATTGAGTTCCTAACAAAGTTTGCATATTGGAAATTTTTTTGTGATAGTTGGAAGGCTATCAAGAAGCCAGTTGAGTCAAGAACAGGTTCGAGTTTATATCAACGAAGAAAACAACAGGAGAAGAAACCTCTTGACGAAGTACATCAGATTATGTACTGATGCCAAGGTTGGAGTTTATACATTTGTGGACAATAGTCACATTGTCACAATGTGTAAAACAAAGGATTGACAATATGTTGGATTTGTTTCACAGGTGACAGTGGACACAATGCTTCTAGAGGGTAACAATGTTGCCAAAGCAATTCTTGATCTTATTCCGGTCCTTAACATCACAAATCTTGTCATGGGGACCAAACGCCCGCCTTCCTCAAGGTACAGTTAGCTGCTGCTTCACCCTGTGGCATCATATTCATCGGCATATCTGTTTCTGTTGATTGATTTTGTGTGCTTATAATAGCTTAACCTTTCGGGAAGAAAAATAAAAAATAAAATTTGTGTGCCTAATGGAACACTTGTATGTGCAACAGAAGGTTCAGTTAATTTTGCAGTCTAGCATATATGAGTGAAGTAAAATGAATTTCTTCCAATGTTGTATTGTTCATGTCCTTTCAAAATTCAATATTTGATCTTATGCTTCTTGACCACAGCTCATTTTAAATACTTATTCCAATGTTTTCTTTTGCCAATCCAATAGAACATTTCAGACTATTTTTAGGGGAAAAAAAATTATAAAAAAAGAATCTTTACAGAGCATGCAATTTAAGCATTCCACTGTTTTCTTGTTAGCTAGGTTGCCCAAGAAGGGGTTGAGGAAGGGAGAATTTGTTCAGAAGAATGCACCGGAATTTTGTGAGGTTAGCCTAATACACAATGGCAAGAACATTATGGACCGCCAACACTTTACAGAAATCACTCAACAATCTGAGAGAAATTTCTTCGACTGTTTGTGCTTTTCGGGGAAGTTCAATTAGCATTGGATTTGCATACCATGGCAGATGTAGAAGGTTCAGTTCGGAATGATTATACAATTTGCAGAAGCAAGAAACAGTTAGAAGCGCGCGCAATGGAGCAAAATGTCACAATGATTAGCAATGTTATTCAGTCAAAATTACAAAAGTACTAACATTGAAAGTAAGAATGTATCCAAGGGAAAAAGATATAAAGACTTTGTATGCTAAATGCTCTGAAGCTTCAAGAGAATTAAGATAAAAATATGCTTCAAGAGCCAAGTATATGGATTTATTTCATCTGTACTAGATTTTTTTTTTACAATTGCTTGTTTTCTTTGTGCTTATGGAGAAGTTTTCCATTTTTTCTCTCTCTCAATTTTAAATAGATGTCTTCTCTCAATCCTTACTGGAAGTTCCTCATGATTCATGAATCAGCTAAAAGCTCCCAAAAACTCTGCAAATAACCTTATCAAGAATGAAAATATGAGAAATTTAAACCAACCATAAGTTCATTTTCTCTTATAAAGATATTCATAATCTCTATTTGTTAATATATATTTTTGGGTATTTTGTTGTCGTAAATTATTCCACATCTAAACAAACAGAGCAAGTTGATCACATATGTTACATGAAATAAAAAACAAAGGAAAGTTTATTAGGGGCATTTCTCATTGCAAGTGCAGTATGGAGACTTGAAGTGGCAAGGCAAATGTTCTTGCGTTTCTACACTGAGAGTTACCGAAGAATAATCATGTCTGAGTGCCTGTTTGAAAATGTTGTTGAACCATTAAAAGTGTTTTTTATTTTAAAATTTTAATTTTAAATATGTTTGTTAGTAAAAAAATAAATTAACACTTTTAAAAAGTAGCCCATCAAATATCTTATCTTTTCTTTCAATAGGTTAGACCCATTAAGCCCATATAGCCTATAATTAAAGGCCCATCAAATAGATTCTCTTTTGTTTCAATATACCCATTCAACCCAAATATCTTTTTTCTTTTTTGTTTTTTTTAAGCAAGTTGTATTAATCTAAATGAATGTACATGGGTTTCAGAGCGGGCCTTGGCCATATAAGCCCAAAGGCAAAGTCAAAAAATTAAAAGATATCATACAGGCCCAGTAGGCAGCAATAAGAGAGATAAACCCTAGGGAGAAAGGGCAAAATGGGCACTACCGCGGTATCAGCGTACCACATGTGTTACGGTGTTCTCAACCGTTCAATCAAGGGGTCTCGGTGGAGGTCTACGGCCAACCACAAAGTTCCATTCGGTAGACCATGGCTTCCATTTTAGACCGCCAATTCTTGAATTGCAGACATCATCTGATTCAATTGGAGATTTTGCAGTGAACAATGTTTTGGCTTGCAGATTTGTTCAAGTATACTCTCGAATTCCGGTAGGACCACCAAAACCCAAGCTTTTCACTCTATTAAATGCTCAAACCTTACTTAGACATTACGAAAACCATCCGAACAGAGCACAGTAATATACATCTCATAAAAATGGGTCATTTTCTTATTTTTTGTCATTAGGCTACAAATGAACCAAACCAAGCCGAGGCGAAGCCTATTCAGGCTCAATTCTTTCATTTGTGAGCTTAGCTCGAGCTCAGTTCAAGATTGCGACGAGCTCGAAAAGATGAGTTTGGGCGCGACTTGTTATTATTTTGAAAAACTTGTGTTCGACTCGTTTAATAACAAAAATTTAAGCTCGTGTTTAATATCGCTTTTACTCGTTCATTAATTTATGTGACCCATACATAAGTCTATATTAATAGATAGTTCATGAACTTTCACATGCTTATATGAACATGTTTACGAGCCTATACAAATATATATTCTTGAAGATATACGAGCTTCTAGGAGTGTATCGTTTGAAAAGTTTAAGATGTCTTAGAGGTATGCCTCCAAGACATAATCTGCTAGTTTTTTATTTTATTCAACGGTGTGTCCTAGACTATATGTACTATATAGTCCATATTTATATTAAAAAAATTCCATTTAGGGAAAAAAAGAAAAGAAAAAGGTATACGAGTTTAAACAAGCTTATGTTTACAAACCTAAACCAATCGAGCCAATACTATTTGGGATAAACTCATTTACTAAATGAGTTTAAAAATCGAATACAAAATCGACGCATTTGCTCAACTAACAAAACCAATTCAAGCCTTAAACTAGTTAAGCTATGCTCTTCATGGATAGCTTGGTTTAGTTGCATCTTTATTCCTTCAACCAAACGTGTCTTAGATATTTTCACTCGCCGCGCAGAAAACATTTAAATGCCTCTATTACCCTTCTGCCGAGGAATCTTTGTTCCCAAAACACAGAAAAGCGAAGAGAAGAGAGAGGAGAAGAGGAGAAGAACGAGAGAAGCGATTTTCTCTCACACACAGAGACTCTTCTCCACGACAGACATGTTGAACCGTTACGACCACAGATATGCCGATCCTCACTCCTACCGAGAGCGTCGAAGGTATGCCAAACTCATTCTAAAACCCTATCTGATTCAGATCTATATATATTGTCTTATTGCATCTATGTATATATGTGTATATTAGCGTGTGTTGTTCATTATTTTTGTGTATTGCAGTGACCTAATGGGTCCACCACCGTCTATGGTGGTTCCGCCCGTGATGGGCGGTGGAATAGGTAACGCTGCCCCGAACTATGGCCGAGGCGGGCCGCTTCACTTTGGAGGCCCACCGGTGCCTGGTAGAGGGTCCGGAAGCGTTCCCGGTGCGGATAGTTTTAATGGGTACCCGCCTTTCCAACCAGGCGTCGATATTGGTCGAAGCGTTGGTGTTGGAGGAAGAGGATTTAGTGCTGGTAGAGGAAGTGGTGGTGGTGTTGTAGATCTTGGTGGTAGAACGGCCAATAGCGGTGTTGGGGATCGGAGAGGTGGCGGTGGTGGTGGTGGTGCTGGTGGAAGGGATCGTGAAGCCGGGCGAGGTGGCGGTGGTACTGGAAGGGGTGGTTATGGCGGAGGTAGAGTTGGTGGTGTGGGCAGGAGTTCTGGTGGAGGTCGAAGTGGTGGCAGGAATTTTGATGGAGGCATGGCAGGTGGTAGGTTTTCTGATGCTGGCCGAGGCGGTGGTAGGGGTTTTGGTGGTGGGCGTGCTGGCGGAAGGGGTTTCGATGGAGGCCGTGGTGGAAGAGGAGGCAGACACGGTGGAGGGTCAAGAGGGGACTTGGATAATATTGCTCTACCAAAGCAAGATTTTGGGAACTTAGTTCCCTTTGAGAAGAACTTTTACATTGAAACTCCTTCAGTTAGGGCGATGACTGAGCACGAGGCAATGATGTACCGTGCAAAGCGTGAGATCACTGTTGAAGGGCATGATATCCCGAAGCCAATTCGGCAGTTTCAAGAGACTAACTTTCCTGGTATTACTTTGAATGGCCTAATTAGTCTTGAATGGCCTAATTAGTCGACAAATTTAGTTATAGTTTTTTTTTTTGCTTAGATTAATTGGCTTATTGGTATCGTTTGCTTTAATAGATTACTGCCTTGAGGTTATCTATAAATTGGGTTTTGTCGAGCCAACACCAATTCAGGCTCAAGGATGGCCAATGGCTTTAAAGGGCAGAGATTTAATTGGAATTGCTGAGACTGGCTCTGGTAAGACTTTGGCGTATCTGCTGCCCGCTTTGGTTCATGTCAGTGCACAGCCTCCATTGGGTTAGTTTTGGTTTCAATTTCCTTAGCTTGCTTGCCACCTTTTCCTGTTCAGTCATGTAATATAATTTTCCATTTATCAGCACAAGGTGAAGGTCCCATTGTACTAATATTAGCACCCACTAGAGAACTGGCTGTTCAGATTCAAGAAGAAGCTTTGAAATTCGGATTGCGTGCAAAAATTAGAACTACTTGCGTTTATGGTGGTGTTCCAAAAGGACCACAGATACGTGATCTTAGGAAAGGTACTTATAGTCCTCCTTTGGGGAATTCTTCGGCTGTTTGCTAACCTATGCAGATTACAGACTGGGATTAGTAGAGGGAACTACTTGCGTTTAACTGTTGTTTTATTTCAGGTGTTGAAATTATCATTGCTACACCTGGACGACTGATAGATATGTTGGAAGCTCAACACACTAACTTGAAAAGAGTTACTTACCTTGTGTTGGACGAAGCTGATCGAATGTTGGACATGGGATTTGAGCCTCAAATCCGGAAAATTATTGCCCAGGTACAATCCTTTCCCTTATGCTTGATTTTTTATTTTTATTTTGGAGATTGCAGGCGTTCTAAGTTCTGACAACTTTAAAATCACCCAATATTTCTGATTTATATGTTGTAGCTTTCTAAGGTGTTATGCTAATGTGCTTGAAAGGAAGAACCCAAAATTTCTGACTTATATGTTGTAGCTTTCTAAGATGTTGAGTTAACGTGCTTGAAAGGAATTCTATTTACATCCTCCAGTAACTTATGCAGCTTAATTACTAGTTGTTATATACAATTTAGAGCTTTCTAGGTTTTTTTTTTTTTTTGGGGGTAGAGTAGGGTAGGGTAGGGTGGGGTGGGGAAAAGGGAAATGGGAAATGGGACATGGGGTTGTGATTTCTTGTTTTATCTGGTCAGTTTTGTACATAGAACCATTCAACTGGTCTTTAAGTTGAATTCACAGCAAATGACTGTCGCTCAATCGTAAATTCACATTTGTGCTTACATGCAACTGGATATGAGAATTTCATTCAACCCTTAATTAAGTTCTTTTTATAGCTCTTTCTTCTTAAATTGGCTTACATGCAACTGGATATGGCAATATGATCCCTGCTGAAAAAGGGTCATCCATTCCCTAGATCAGTTTACCCTTTGGGAGGCTGCGTTTTCATATTGAATGGTGTCCTAAAACCACTATACCTAAATTTCACTTATAAAGGTTGCTAGATTAGCTTACCCTTTTACAAAGTTAAACAATGCATTTTTGTTGGAAAGGGACGGTGGTGAAGAAACTCTACTTTGCAGGATCTCCAATTGTTGTTTCATAAAGAAGTTAGAAGTACCAAGGGAAGAGGTGTAGGTAATAGACAATAGATAATTTTGGGTTGAGAAAAGGAAAGGTTTTAGTGGAGGTGGAGATTCTAATGGGGGTGGTTTGGCCACTAGAGAGTCGTGACTTAAAGGGTGTTGGGAGGTGGCAGAAATTAAACAGACCAGTATGAAGTAATATGTTCTGTTTACGGCAGATGTATGGACGAACAAATTATTGGCAAGTTCAAGGTGGATCAGGTGAAGATCCAGCACTGTTAAAGGTGCGCATAGGCGTGCCTAAGCTCAAGGCGCAGTTCTAGCGCTTGTTGTCATCCCAGGCTCACTGATGTTTACTAGGCACGTGCCTCGGGTGCGCCTTGTCCTGTTTGTCAGGAACGCCTAGGCGCGCCTCACTGATTTTTAAAAAAAACTATGATTATTCTATTTCTTAAGCCAAAAATGATACTTTTGGCAACTTAATAAACAAATAAGATAGTCCAAGTGTACGAGATAAGAAACTTTTGTTCAAAAGAATAAACAAATAAGAAATCCCAAGAGTCAAAGTGTCAACCGAACAGAAAAAGAGTGAGACCGTGAGACGAACGACAAAGCCACATCAGTTCTTTCATCATCTTTTCTTTCTTCTCCTCTACTTGTCTCTCCTCTCTTCTCCTCTACTCCTCTCTTCTTATCTTTGTTTACATCTCTCTCTTTATCTAGTTCTCTTCTCTCTCTGTCTTTTTTTTTGGGGGCTCGGTTTTTTCTCCTTTCTCTCTTCTCGTGTACTTTTCTCTCTTCATTTACTTCTTTTGTCTCTCCATTTTTTTTTGGCTCTGTTTTTTCTTTTCTTTTCTTGTTAACTGTTTTTTTTTTTTTTTTTTTAGCAGATTTATTTCTTTTTGTGCTCTGTTTTGCCATTCGAAAAAACAAATCGTGCTTTGCCTTTCAAGAAAACAAATTTGTGCTCTATTTTATGATTGTTGGATGCTTGTTTAGTTGATGGATTTTCTTTTTTTATATTGATATGACTTGTGAGATATGAATTTTTTTATGGTATTTTAAATATTCAATTGTGCGCCTCACTTTACTCAAGCGCGCGCCTCGCCTTGAGCCTAGGCTCCAGAGGACCTCTAGTGCCTTGGGCCTTTAATAACACTGTGAAGATCAACTATGAGAAGTTGAGGAAGCAATAATTAACTCTTATAATCATTTTGTTGAAGAATCTTCAGTTAGAAGCCAAGCCCAATATCAGCATAATTAGATCTTTCAGTTAGATCATCGCGAGGGGGTTTGCCACCTTTTTTGGAGGAAGATTCATGTGGCAATGGTAGTTAAGATTGTATCGGAATGGTGCTTTAATCCCTGATGGAACTATTATAGCTTTTTGTTGAAGTTTCTGGGATGTTGTTAAGGCTGGCCTCAGGCAATAGAGGGAGGGGGTATTATGAGTTGCTTGATTTTGAGTGGAGCATTATGATGTTAAGTGCAATTTCATTTTGTTTATCTGTAAGAAAATGGTCCTTTTATTCAGGATTTGCAGTTGACGTTCACGATGAGTAGCAGGGATTGTAGAATGTAGAGTAGGTTTTCTTACTTGTCTTACTTTAAAATTTGTGCTTTTCCAAAGAAATGTGTTTTGGGATTGAGGGAGGTAATTGGAAGTGATCGTGTGCATGTTGGAGATTCTACAAATATCTATAGCTAAGAATGGGGTTTGCAGTCCTGTTGGGGAGTTGTCTTTTTAGCATGTAGTTCATGTTTAGAGATGTCAAGACTTAGATGTGAGAAGACTAGGAAAGTTGGTGTTGATAATGCATCAATGCAGTACAACAATACAGAGTATGGGATTCACCATTTAACAATAGAGGATTTTCTGTTAATGAAACTAAAATCCAATTACGGTTGCGTCTCTTGAATTAAATTTTATAACAAGTATATCAAATCGAAGAAGATAATATTTACATTTCAAGGAGAGACTCCCAAAACTAAAAATAAATAAATAAAAAACCCTCTTTAAAGTGGATATCAAATCAATGATTATCGCTGTATTGTTGGAAGGCATTATTATGTATTGGTATAGGTTTACTGAAGTTGATTTGACTCCCCTAGGGTCTTCTTGGAAGATGATTCTATTTTTATCGATAAGCACTGTCACAAAGCAGGAATCAATGTGACTCCCCAAATATGTCGAGTCTCGTACCTGAAACGTGAAAAGAACACTGATATTTATGTTCTCACAAGCTCCATGCTGTGATTTTGTACTATATAAATGGTTGAAATGGATTAAACTAGTAACTCCGAACTGTATTAGTGAATTGACTCAATTGAGTAACAAACTAACAATATAGTCACTGGTATGAACTCTCAGCTCGGTGCAGCACCATGTTGCAATCAATGGTAGCCTGACGCACAAGCACCTATATTCTTCACCAATTCTAATTTTTGTCTTGGATTAAGAAAAATTCTAGGGGCTGCTGCTATGTGCAATGATATAAGCTTGGGCTAACAAGCATGAGGTTGCAGCTGAAGATGAGCGCAGTTTGTGCAGAATTTTTCCAATGGTTAGGTCTACCTCCCCCATATGTTCTTTTGGAAGGAAAACAATACTTGATTGAGAAAAGTTTATTGTGCATTGGAAACCATTTATTTTACTAGAAATTTATGGCCTATTGGAAAATTATGGTGCATGAAGAGTTGAATTAGGACACTATTTTTTTTATTCTCTAAAGTAGAGATTTTCTGTCAGCTAGAATGACAATGGAACTGTGGAAAAGAGTTGAATTTGGACACTATTTTTAATAACTGATTTTATATAAGTTGTGGAACTTCTTTTTCTTTTTTGACTTTGTCATGAGAGACGCTTAATCATCTGTGCCCTTCAACTGCTGGCTTTCATTTGTTTTTTGTTATTGAACTCATAGTACTCTGGAAGAAATGATTAATAACTCTTCCCACACTCCTTGAAGTATAATACTTATTTGCAATGTTACCCGGACTCGGACACGAGTGTGTGTCTAGAAGTTGGATCCGTCCATCCTTCAAGCTATGGGATTCGGGAACACGGCTAAAAAGTGTCAAAAACTTGGACACAGACACTTGGTGGAAAAAGAAAAGTGTATCCTTCTTATGTATTAGAGGATAAGACCCGAGTCTTTTTAATAAAAGTAAAATAAATATAATAGAAAGGTAAGAGTGATAAAGGAAAGAGTGATATAAATTTATATAGTACTTATATTATTTCGTTATTGTATTTATTTACCTCTACAGTTGTGTTGCACAATCTCTACTTCTTTGGATATATAAATTATTATTTATTTACCTTTTCTGGTTTGTGTCTCATGAATCGTTGATATATATATATATATATATATATATATATATAGTAGTAGTAGTAGTAGTAGTAGTAGTAAGGACTGCACACTTGTAAACCATTATGCAGGTCTGTAGATGGTAATTTTGGTTAATTATAACTCTGATAAAAGGCCCAAATCTCGATGTCTTCATATCAAATAAATAGGTGGCTTTATCATGGCCATTGAAGAGTATTAAAAGTCAATAGTCAAGCATGTGAAATCAGGTTCGGCCGGCACAACACAGCGCTTACACATACGGTCACCTTCAACCGTTCAAAAGACGCACCAGGCTGCCATTGTTGAAGCACTGAGCTTTCTGATCTCATTAATGGAAGCCTGTTTAACAGATAAACATGGAAAATTTTTATAATCCTTAACAATCAACCCACAATTTTTTTTTTATTTCCGTCATCAGCCGTGTCTGATGCAAGGATGAAGGATCCGACTCAGATCCAGTGTATGTGTCGTGTCGTGTCGACACGGACACTTCAGCCTCCAATGGTGAGTCCAGGTAACACAGCTTATTTGCTTCAAATCCTTAATATTTTTGTGCAATTTGATAATATTAAGAAAGAGTTGGTTGACTGTTGACAAGAGGTCAATAATTTTATATTGGAATGCAACTCTGGTAGGGTCTCTGACGTCTCTTTGATTATCACTGAAAACAATAGAACTTCTGAGTTAAGGTTCCAGGAATGCAAATAATTGTCAGATAATCTGGTGTTTCCCAGTTATAATACCAGCAACTTTGCAATGGTCTATTCTTTTGGTGAGGTCTAATCCTTCTTAAGATCGTGGCACTAGAAAATGGCTCTTTAAGTGCATGATAGTCATTAGCCATTATGTGACAGCATGTTCGGGTTCTTATCACCGTTAGTTAGAATAGAGCATTTTTTTATTAATATGCAGCTGAAAACTTGAATTGAGATTATTCTGTGGTCTCAATTTTGTGTTTAATGGAATTTGTACTAATGCAACTGTACGCATCTGATTTTTACTGATCTCTTCCTGCTCATGTTAGTTCGTTATAGCTCTCAAACACGAAATCTTTGTTTGTGTTGGTAACCTAATTTACTTTTGTTTGTCATGTTGAACTTTGTTAAAAACTTTGCTAAATTTGACTTTAAAAAAAAAAAAAAAAAAAAAAAAAAAAGATATTAAATTTGAAAGGGCCTTTGTTGCATACAGATCCGACCAGATAGACAGACGTTGTATTGGAGTGCCACATGGCCAAGGGAGGTGGAAACTCTAGCAAGGCAGTTTCTACGCAATCCTTACAAGGTTCTGCTTCAGCTTCTTCCTTATCCATACGATACTTGTGTGTTTGAATGTGCATTAGTGCACATTGAAATTTCAAATTTGTTGATGCTTATTCAGTGCCCTATAAAATATTTTGCTTTCTTTAGGTAATCATTGGGTCCGTAGATTTGAAAGCGAATCAATCTATAAACCAAGTTGTTGAAGTTGTGACAGAGTTGGAGAAGTACAACAGGTGTGACTTGTGACTGGTAACAGGGAAATGTTTACACTTTTTGCTTTTAATGTTGGATGTCTTAAATGTGTTTCTCCCTGCAGGCTGATCAGACTGCTCAAAGAAATGATGGATGGAAGCCGAATTCTAGTATTTATGGAGACAAAAAAAGGATGCGACCAAGTGACAAGACAACTGAGAATGGATGGGTGGCCAGCTTTATCCATCCATGGTGATAAAAACCAGTCCGAAAGGGATTGGGTCCTCGCTGAGTTCAAAAGTGGCAGAAGTCCTATAATGACTGCCACTGATGTGGCTGCACGTGGTCTTGGTAGGATCACTGTGTGTTAGGACTTTAGGCATTTTTAAGTCTCTTACATGTAGATCTTGAAATTCTGAGATGGTCGAGTCAGCCAGCTGCTGTCCACTTCCCTGAGAATATAATTTGTGGTTTGGGTGCGAAGGCCGCCATCGTGTTTAGAAGCTGTTAACTGAATTTTGTTTCACCCACGAGTAGGACCGATTATGCTTCACCTAAGGAATTACAAATTGGATTGATAGGCAATTTTTCGTTTCTTGCATTCACTTAGAATGTCCCGTAAGATACCTCTGTTTGGTGCTGCCTAATTCTAATAGCTTATGTTACATGGACACGGAGCATTGTTTCAGTGATGTACCTGGGGCACTAGTTTTTAGATTTCGCAGGATGTGACATTATACTATGCAAGGCAGTATTATAGTTCGTGGAAGTCCTTTCTTTCTATTCTTTTGTTACTCATGGGGAAATAGAGATATAGAAAGCTAGCTTTAATAGGATCATAATCTCCGCTAAAGTTGCTAGAATGGTATGGCTCCCTACTGTGTGTCTAAGTAACATGGTTGAAGTTATCGTTGCCCATCCACGGTTATGGAGCTGGTTGTCGTGACAGCCTGGTTGACTCATGCAAAGCTTTTCCACTGATTGGTATTTGTGGTGGTGGTGGAGCTGCTCCTTATCCCTGCAAAATTAAGGTGGGCACATTTATGTGATGAATGTGTTATCTTATATTTGATCTTCGGGATGCAGGGATAAGGTTGCATTTGCGTTTTGCAATTTTGCATATTTATTGTTTAATTTAAAGTAATGCCATACGAATAGATTGTTTGTACATATTTTCTTTTTAAAGGTAGGATGTGTGGCATTATTCGTTCTGCCTATTTTAATACAAGGGCCGTTCAAAGGGGTAAAAAAAAAGCAATTTGCCATTAATGTACCTTACAGTTTAAAAAATGCCACTACATTTTGGATGAAAATTTCATAGGATTATTATAACATTTTCCTTCCTTGATTTAACTTGTACATTATTGATTGTAGATGTGAAGGACATAAAATGTGTTATCAACTATGATTTTCCATCAAGTCTTGAAGATTATGTCCATAGGATTGGCCGAACTGGACGTGCAGGGGCTAAGGGAATGGCCTTTACCTTTTTCACCCATGCAAATGTTAAGTACGCTAGAGAGCTCATTAAGATCCTGCAAGAAGCAGGGCAAATTGTTCCTCCTCCATTGGCTGGCTTGGCTCGTTCAGGTGGCTCTGGTCTAGGAGGTAATTGATGCTAGTTTTATCAAATTAAAAATACATACATATATATATATATAATGGGCTGCTCACTCACAGTCTCTCTTTTTCTGTCAGCTTCTGGTGGCAACTTCCGCTCTAGAGGACGAGGCGGCTTTGGCAACAGATCTTTGATTTCAGGATCCAACACTATTCCTCTTGGTGGTGGAAAGAGGCCTTGGTAGTTTCAATTTTGTTTATTGCTGCTTTAGACATTAGTTTTAGAGAAAACAAACTTAGACTAGTTTGTAAAACAGTCCATGCCATAATTGGAACTTGTTTCCAATAATCAATTTTTGCCAAGATGTTGCTCATCTTGCAAGTGCAGTAACAAGAACTTGTTAATGTATTCAAGGCATTCATGTTTTTGCAAAAGGTTTCTCATAGCATGTCTTTCTTTGGGTCTATTGTAAAGTACATTGTTGTTGTATTGGGTAAATAAGCGTGATGGATCTTCTATTTCTATGTATACTCTCTCCTATTGTGATTTCTCAGATACAAATCAACCCCTTTCAAGTAGCAGGGGTGGGGAGGGAGAGGGAGTGACGGGGTGGGGAGGGAGAGGGAGTGACTGATGTATGTATACATATGTGTGTGTAGGTGTGTTCTCCTTGGTCTAAATGATCAGAAACGTATTCTGCAATATCAAAGGAAAATATATGACCCCGTCGCCTTCTAGATAAGATGGCTTCCGTGAGGAGTAGTTTGTATTGGGGAAATTGAGACCTGGGCTGACTCTATACCTGTGCGAAGGTCTATTTCCCTCCCTTCCCGAATGGATCAGATTCTGATGGAATTGTTGGCTGGAAAAAGTTATGATAGGTGTAGGTGACGGTTACATTGAACCAATGGCTAATGGTACGAGTTTGTGCAGTGCCCTTAATGGTGTGAGTTCGTAGTGCAAGTACTCATGTGATGGGTTACTCTTTTGGAAATGCATCTCTAGGGTTTTTGAACTTTTATGTGATAAAAACCATATACTGCCTGTGCAGTTGACAAGTCAAGACAATTGTTCATAATCAGTGACATATTGTCCCAACATGTTTTGTCCTTTGAGGGTTGTTTTCTCCTTGCTCTCTTACTATTCCCTTTTCCTGATAATATTATAATTCAGTTCAATTTTTTTTGGGAAAAACGTTTGAACTTTTGAAATGGGGTTGTACAGCTCTTAGATATGATGTTCAATCTCAGATGACTGGTGTTTCTATGATGTTCTGTTTTTTATGCAAAATTGTTTTAAGGTTGGTCGTATGACTTGCTCCAATATGTGTTGATTACAATATGTAACCACGGTGGATTAAGCGTCATATTTGCTGATAATTAATTGTCTTCTACAAACTTCGGAAAAGTGAAGATAGAGGCTAGAAAAGTATCTCTGAATCAAATAAAAATTTTTAACTACACCTTTCTTGCTTTATTCACTAATTATGTTTTTTTTTTTTTTTTTAAGCAAACAACTTAAAATTTATAAATACGTCACTACTTCCATAGAATGGTGTTAAAATTTTCAATAAAAATTACTTGTCACTAAAATTCACTAAATTATTTATTTATTTATATGCAAGACCGATATATATACCCAAGTTCATTACACTATTTTTATTATACATATATTTTTTTTTAATTGACAAGAAATATATTTACATCCGCATACCTCACAGGACTTTAAAATTTTAAAATTTTTGAGAAGTAAAGAATATCACTAAGCTACAACGCTGAAAATGTATTAAAACCCAACTTCAATCTAGTTTCAATATATATATATATATATATATTTTATGATTAAGTTTCAATTTTTTTTTTCTTTTTCATCGTGAATTAATTTTCAATTTTTTTTTTCCCAAATTAGTTTTCAAACCTAGACATGTAATGTAAGATTGCTCAAAGCAAGGACCGTTTTGGTATTCACCCAAATCCCGATGGGTAAGATGGTCAAAGCAATAAACAGTCCTTATCTATAAATTCCCCAAAACCCTAGCTCATATCTCTCTCTCCATCGCCGCTCCTCCGCAGAAACCCTAGAGAGAGAAAGTAAACAGAGAAATGACTACCCGCTTCAAGAAGAACAGGAAGAAGCGCGGCCATGTGAGCGCCGGTCACGGCCGCATCGGGAAGCACCGCAAGCATCCCGGAGGCCGCGGAAACGCCGGAGGCATGCACCACCACCGCATCCTCTTCGACAAGTACCATCCCGGCTACTTCGGCAAGGTCGGCATGAGGTACTTCCACAGGCTCCGCAACAAGTTCTACCGCCCCATCGTCAACATCGACAAGCTCTGGTCTCTCGTACCCGAAGACGTCAAGGACAAGGCCAGCACCGACAAAGCACCCATGATCGATGTGACCCAGTTCGGATACTTCAAGGTCTTGGGTAAGGGAGTGTTGTCCTCTTCGCAGCCCATCGTCGTCAAGGCCAAGCTCATCTCCAAGATCGCCGAGAAGAAGATAAAGGAGGCCGGTGGCGCCGTCGTGCTTACCGCTTAGGTTTGATCGTCTCTACCCTAGTTTCGTTTATATCTATTTGGGTTTTCAAGTTTTATATGTATTGGTGGTTTACATTGAATGAAGGATTATTGGAGTATGTTCTTTTTGGATCACTTCTTGAGATGTTTACATTTCAGATTTATATAATTTTGACTGCATTTGCTCACAGTTTGATCTGTTTCTTGAATGTTTGATGGGTATTGGCTTCACTACATTATTATTAAATATTGTGGCAAATTATATATAGTTTGGTTATTTCGCCATTCAATTGCATTTCAATTTTACTGACTTGTTTTACTTGATGTTATTGATTGAAAGGTTTGAGATTGGAAATGGTATAAAATAGATTAGCTTTTATGTTGTGATTCTTTTCAGTGAGTTTGTTTGAACAATAGAACATGTTATTGGCACTACAATATTAGTTGCTTGGTTTGTGTTGAACTGCAAGTTCTAGTGTAGAATATGGTTTGCCTTATATTATTTGAAAGGTCTATGAAGCTTTGCATTGCTAAATTCCAACTTTCATAAATGTGGTACATCACTATTATAGTGGAATTTGGGAAATATTTGAGAAAGTTCTCTGTTTTTATTTGTGCATGTTAGGAACTATAATTGAGGCTTTATGCTGTTAGAAAGTATTAAGCAGTTAGGCTCCATTAAATTTTGTGTTATTGGATTTTGTAGGCGACCTCTTTCGTGTCTACATATTAGAACAATGAAAGTGAACTCAAATTGTTTTAACTTATTTATCAATTTTATCTCACTTTGGATGACTTTGTGCAACTGCTTAGTCATGATTATCATCTAACACTGTCACTCGGGATCCTTTTGATGCATGGGCAACAGTTTGTTACCTTATGGATCTATAAGTATCAGATATGACATTGTCATCCATTAAAAACGTCAATTAGGGAACGTGTAGATGGCAATTTCTTAAAGAACCCTATAATAACCAATAAGAAAATCTCTTTCAAACATAGTTATCTGCCATTGAAGGAGTGTACCGGCAGCAGAATGCAATATTTGAGTCAGCTAGCTTGCTTGAGTTTACCCAACTAATTCTTGGCTTGCCTTGTGAACTTTTATTCATAGTTTGTTCTTTCTTGGGTTTCACAATACAGGAGCGCGCTCACTCAGACACACAAGTGTTGATCAGGTGCTCCTTGTTATGCAGGTGGCTATTTGTGCAACCGACATGGTGTCTGTTGGATTTTGTTTAATGGGTATAATCTAAACCCAGTTTCCCCTTGCATTTGGTTTTAAAAAGCCATAAAACCACTTGAAATTACATAAAAGAGGAAACAAATATCCAAAACGGTGGTCCAGAAGCACCACATCATTGGTGGCCCTGTCCAATGATAAAAAGCCATGCATGTAGAGTGGACATGTTTCCCTTAATTGTCTTTTTTATCTCTCAAATATTCATCACATTCCCAGTCTCTCTCTCTTTCTTCCTTGAAATGAAACTATGAATTGTATTATTCTGTTGTCTCGGATGGAGAGAATCAATCAATATAAGAAATATTATGCTTCAAGCATAGTGAAGTTGGTTTGTCTCCAAATGTAGTTAGACTGTGTCACCAGAAAGCAAGACAAATTGAGGTTAAGAGTATCCCAAATCAAAGTGGAAATTTTCTTCCTTAGACGACACTGTGGAGTGAATTTCATGTGGAACAATGACCATATTGCAATCTGAAGCGATATCATTCTTGCAGTGTGGTTCCTGAATTGATTTCATTCTATAGTTTAGTCCTCAAAATCAACGCTTGGATTTACATGAAAGACCCAAATCTTTCTCATAAACAAGTACTTGGTGTGGTTATAAAGAAGAAGTTGCAAGAGAGGGAGGATATGTAATCTTGGATTTGCATGGTAGACAGAACTGGGAGTGAGAGAGGTTTTAGATAGAGAAGTTGGAATCTGATGATCAGTGTTTGAGAGAGAAAAAGATAAATGAAGCAAACATGGTTTACGTCATTAGAAAACAGTTACGTAGTTGCTGATGTGTAAATATTTTTGAGAAAAGCTTACTCATGAAATGCATGGTTTTTTCTTCATTGGCCAAGACCACCAATGATGTGGTGGTCTTGCGGGATTTAGCAATTCTTTCTTTTTCCTGATTACCTTTTTTTTTTTTTTTTTAAGAGAGGAGTGACAGGTTTCTCTGTTTTTAGATGGTTAATAAGGACCCACATTTTTCAAATAGAGGTTTTTTTTTTTTTTTTTTTTTTTTTTTTTTCTTCTTAATTTTGAAAATCAAAAGTGGGGGAGAAAACAGGGTTTTAGATTACAACCTTTAGATGATATTTGAGATACCTTGCTGCACTCCAGGTAGCCGCAGATAAACAGTATAATATTTAATGAAAACCTTTGCTCAGGTGGAGGCTCCAAACATAGGCTATATAAAACAGTGCCTTGCATTGCTCGTTATGATTTGGGCAAAAATTTCAGATTGTATGTTTGTGTGATGATTTGAGCATAACCAATTGTATATTTCTTCAGTTGTGAGTTGACTACCTTTTGCTTGTTTAATGTGTTATCTTACAAGGACTCTTCAAAAGTATTTGTTTTATGTGTTATGTTACGTGGACTCTTCAAAAGTACATGAAGTAGTCATGTTGGACACATGACATTTGGATAATGGTATGGGATATTTTTCTAGTTGGACATGTTGCATATTTATTAGTTCAATTATATTAAGATTAATGCTCAAAAGCAAGTGAAATGCCTATTTTTAACATTATGTAACATAAAAATATCATTTTATTATTACTTATAAAAAAAAAAATTAATCCGTGTTCTTTTGTTCGAGGATTTGATTCATCCGAGCTTGGACGCATCCACATGACACCGAAAACTAAGTTTATTTGCATATATATTGAGAAGATCTTGTCCCTAGAAACATGAGTCTCGGCTAACTGTTGCTGTGCATGAGATTTTATTAGTCCTTGGTATTCATTAGCTTAATTGTTTGTATTTTCCTCGTCTTTAGCGTAGATGTTCCTCTTGGTAGTTTTCATGTAATGACTTCGCCTGGAATTGAATTATAGGCTTTAGTTTTCTTTCTCAATTTTTTTTTTTTTTTTTGTTTTCAAAATTGTTATAATTTTTTTTATGCCAGTTGATGATTCATGGATTCTATTCAGCGTTTCGTCCAAATGGAATGTGAAAAATGTAGCTATAAGGAAATTTAATAATGCAAATCTACTGTTACTGGAGATATAATCCCGATCATGTAATATCATGGCAGTTGGTGGAGGATTTTATTATAGCAAAATTATATGTATGAGGTGGTTGTACAGATACGGTGGTGGTTCCTCTGCTCTGCTAACCGGAGGATACGTATTTGCCCTGTGACTTCTTGGAGATGGCAAGAGGATGAGGATGAAGAACTGTATTGATTCATCGAAATCATGAAATCATATAGAAATGATTCATAGAAATAATGAGTCACCGTTGATATCGACCCATCAAATCAACACATCTAAGATAACCGGATGTTCGGTAGTTCCCCAATTCAATCCTTTTCCTCCTTATTACTGGAGATCTCGTGGACATCTTTTCTGCATTGCCCCCAGGCATCTAGTGAAGAAGTACCACTCAGTTCCAGCCCTTAGGATTTATTTCCTAAATTACTTATCACTCTTTGATGCTAAAATAAAATGGTCTAGTGAAGATCTATTATATATTTTCATGAAATATATATATATATATATATATATATATATATTCTTCTGATTCATTTATTCGTCACACTATATTATAATGATGAGTATTGCCTAAGAGTCTCTCACGGCACACATTCAAACGCCTGTAGCATAATATCATACTACAAACATCATAATTTGGAGGCGTCGTGAATAACAAAGAAAGAGACGTGTGATTCAACTAGAACAGGCCTATTATAGTCGTTGGATGAAGAGTTATGTGATTGTCAATCTCAGGGGCAAGTTAAATGAGAAATCCATGGTAGCTTTTTTTTCCAATTTACACTATATCACATTAAGATTTCCAATATAATATCCTTGAAATGTGTGTATATATATTTGTAGTGGAGAAATTTGTACTTGGTCCGAAACTACATGATTTCACTAATCACAAACGGCCATTTGATTGTGTGATTGTATATGATTGATCTGACGTGGCCATATAATAACACTACTATTTTGATCGCACAATACCAATTACTTTGGAGATCGGGTGGTTTTGGCTTTATTTTCTTGATAAAGCTTTGTCAAGGAAATTCTAAATGGTGTGACGGATTACTTATGGAGGACACTTAAGTGTGAGAGTGAGAGGGAAGACGGAAGCCGTCACGCCACTTAGAACTTTCTTGGCAAAGCTTTATCGAGAGAATAAAGCCAAGTTCTCATCACCACGACCGATAAGACAATCAATCGGGCAGCGAGATCAATCCAAACACTGTGCCTTTCATTGTAATGGCGTCCAGTAATTTTTTGTGCTATAGTGGCTTGATAAACTTTTTCAACACAATTATACTTATTTTCAATACAGGTACATCTGTTTATTTTAGTTAGATTTAATGAGTTAAAGAACAGATATGAATCATATGATACTGCTAAAAATCACAACAGCGCCGAAATTACAGAAAAGGATCTAAGCTCAATTTACATTTTCGAATTTAAAGGGTTGGATAAGCACAACAAAGTACTTATATATCACAAAAATTTGGAGAGATTCCAAGTTTTTTTTTTTTTGGGTTAAAAGGGGAGAGATTCGAAGTTGTTAAACGGTAGAACTTTCTTTTTGGATTTATCATAAAGGTTGGCTTGGTTGATAGCCATAAAATAAAATTGACTATGACATTTTAAAGCACTTGATGAAAAAGGCCAAACAATGTACATTGTAGGTACGTTGAAGTTGTTTTTCTTGATCTGTCTTCTTGTCCTTGCATGTGGGACCTTTTGGGAAAGGCTAGTTGTTGTCCTTTAACACAAGCCCTATAGCTGTCATCTGGCCCTATGGCCCACCAGACACCAAAGCTTGTCGGCAAGTCTTTTGTTTCATTAACTTATCCATTAGGGGTTTGAATATTTGGCTTGGATTTTAAAATGTTTGCTTACAGGGAATAGTAATTTGTATGAAAACGGGAATACATTGTCAGTATAAAAAAATTATTAATGTCTTTTCAAGATTGAATATTTAAG